GAACCTTTTTTTTAGCTAAAACCAATATAAATCCTGTTTTTGCCTAAATTTCACCTCTTAACCCAACAGCCAAAGTTTTGGGGCTTTGTTGTCCTGTTGCGCCACCTTTGCGTAAGTTATGGCTCAAGTTAGAGTGTACAGTCCACACTAAACCATATGTTTTAACCAATCAAGGTTGTACCTTCGTTTAGCTACACCCTGCAGATGTAAGGTTTGTCTTAACTGAAAGACAATAATATTTATAGGGTCTTACCAAAATATTGTCTCAAGTATGACATTAACATTTTCTGTAGCCAATCAGGGAAAAGCTAAGAATGTTACTGTTACTGGACCAACAGTAGCAGATTAGCTAAAATGTGAAATATGATCTGCTAATAATTAATCCATACTGTAAAATTACATTGGTTAAAATGAATTGTACACAAACTGTAACATATTTCAATAATAAAGCAAACACAGATCCAGAGAAGTACATTTCAATCTGATTTAGTTTACTGCAGAAAACATTCAAACTCCTCCTTCTCTGCCTCCAAGTTATATCATCTTTAAGAATGATGCACCATCACAACCGGAATATAGAGAGAACTTTACGTCGACTCAGAGCTAGACGTAAGAATTAAGTTGTAATAAATGTTTACATTAAAACTATCTCAGGTAATCCAAAAGCTAAATGTTTGAACCGTTAGTCACTGAGTGTTCAGTCAGACTAGCTATTTAACAAGTGAGAGGATTTGGCATTAGGAGACAATATACAACAGGCAATTTTTAGCTGTACTACACAAAGACATCTGTTGATGGATAGATTTAAAGCCAAGCAGTGTCAATGGCTTCTATGGCTGCATCTAAACCTCTCTATCCATGTGGACTGTTTTCCTGCATACAGCTAATCCCTGCTGAAACACAACAGCAACACTTCAAATGACAAGATATCAGTTTTCTACCACCTAAGGCTATCTAACACCTTCACATGCAAACCATTGATATATTGTCTGGATTTGTTGTCTGGCTCATTGCCCCAGTTTGATTCCCAAAATGCACTTTATGATCTTTCTAAGGCCTCATCAAGTGCACTTGGATCAAGTATCCAATACTGTGCTAGGTACATTCCCATTAAAGGGAGATGAAGTCCTGCTGCATTTCAGGAAAAAGCGTAATGCCCTGTGCACCAGGATGAAATGAATAAGATGTGATAAAGCCATGGTACATTATGCATGATGATGGTCTGACACCTTGGTCTACTGGATACTAAACCAAATGTTTGATCAACTCTGGAAAACACTGCTCTTAGGCACTTCCTTCAATAATCATAAGATATTTGCATGAAAATAAAAGTTTCAAAGAGATTTCATTAAGTTCAACTTGAATCCAAATGTCCTGAAATCTTTGCATACATGTTTAAAAATGCTAATTTATGGCATTAAGGGTCATGTTTTCTTTCATGTATTATTACTATGGAGACTTTTTTTTTAGGTATTGCTGCTTGACAGTAATTCTTTGGCACAGCTACAGCCTTGAATTTCATATGCCATCACTGATGATGTTTGACAGACTAAAAGCTAAAAATGGTCTCATTCCACAATGCAGGGTGCATGTTTAAATCAACAGACAAGTCATAATCACACCTGTCACAACAGAAAAAAAGGAACTGGCTCCTGGCTAATGACAGAGGAAATAACATCTCTGTCACTGTAGGAAAATAAAGCATTCATTTCCCTTTTTCACACATGAACAGTACCTGCGTCAGCTGACTGTACACCGTGCTGCCAACAGCTTAGACAGGTGTCAACTAGAACCATGTGAGGCAAAATGCTGATTCTGACTGAACCATGATCAGAGAAATTTTCACTCAACTTTGTTGTTTTATGACAAATAAAAGAAAATTTTCCACAATAGCTGAACAAACTGTCTCCTGTAATCTATCCAGAAAACACTTCCTGTTTTGCCATTTCCTCATCCTTCCCTCTGATCAACAGAGTAAACTGCTCTGGGCTTATGAAACAGGACCACGGTGTTTCAGACAGCTTTGAAATGTATGATCACTCTCTCTGCAAACGTGCATGTTTCACTCTGTTACATGGAAATTCCTCTTTACCTCTTCCTCTTGTTAACTAATTCTCTGTCCTCACCTTATTGAGCACTTATTCAAGTCAGAGATTGTGAGGAGAGTGCTGTGTGGATTGTGCTGTCACAGCTGCCTTGTAAATAATATGAAAGTATTCAATGACACAGACACTAGGTTTTAACTTCTTTATATTTGAGAGGATTAAAAATGACCTCTGTTTTACCTTGTCTGTGGAGCAGTCCACCACTGGCATAAAACTGATCACTAAACCATCATTTCTTTAAAGACATCATTCTTTTTTAAAGTGGGCTGTAAAAAATTACAGAACTATATGGCTGTTGTTAAAAATTGTAGCTGCTGTATGGTAATAATGCAGAATTTATACTTAATGAGAAATTCACCTTGTAAATAAACTTAGAGTTGTTTTGCATCTAATGTTTTCATGTAGAAAGACAAAATAAATTCTGCATTCATGGGGCAGACAATGATATCCAGTACTAGAGCACTCACCTTAAAAGTTATTGGAACTTCACACATTTTGTAACATTTTCTGCATGACTTGCCTTTTGCAGCAGCATTAAAATGCTAAAAGCTGTTTCTACATTTTCATCTATCTTTGAGCTTTACGGGATCGCTCCTGAAAAATGTCCAGTGCAACAAGTCAGAACCCTCTGAGCAAGAACAATTCATGTTAATATTAAATGAAGAGTGAAGTGAAGTAACATTTGACACCCCTGCTGGGATATCAGAATGATCCATCGAGTGTAAAAATATACTTCAGTTTTCCTCAGCGTAAGCGTAACTGGTGTTAGCTCAAAGTGATGTTCTAGTGTGGCCTGAAGGTCAGCTGAATTTCATCTACACTGAGCTGCTTTTCACCCAGGCCTCATCAATATTGTGAAACAGGCAGAACCTGTTTCAGATTCATGCTCCAAGCACAGATGTGGACGCAGACTGACCTCACCGTGTTTGAAAGTTTCTCATAAGTTTTCTTATCAAAGGTACAGTGTGTAGGAATGGGACTATTGAGGGGTAGTTGACTGTCAGATTCTCAAGTGAGATGCACTCTTGCAAAAATATAATCCTTTTTGCATACAACATCAACACCTCTAAAAATCTTCTGTTTATTTTCCAACCACAGTATCTCCCACAGCCACTTTAATATAAAGGTCATACCTTGTTTGTCTAGTCTATGCTGCTGTAAGAACATGCCAGTGCAGGATGGCAGCTCCACCAAAGGGGTACCTAATGTAGATATCAACAGTTCCAAACTGTTGTCTCAGTTTTAGGAACATTTGCCACCTGAGCTGAAACTACAACAAAGTTCTAATATTTTTGACACTGATATTAAATCCTGTTCAAAAAAGAAACAACACCGTCTTCACCCCTAAAACATGAGCATACATGTCTGCAGACTTTTTTAATGTATACTGTATATGTGTATTTTGTATTTCGTACTGCAAGTCCATGTTAAATTAACAGATAGGTGAATAATCAAATGAGGTAAAAACATGTCTTTATTCAATTAATTTAAGTTAATAAAAGCATTATTATAGTACATATTTACCAAGTCTGTTCAGCTGAATGTCATGAAATACGACATACTGTATCTTTAACGAAGAGTTAGAATTAAAGTATGTGTTAATTTATGGTCGTCAAGTTTAAATTTGTTCTGGATAGAGTATCCAGGAATCTGTGCCATAATGTATTGAAATCAAAAAGTAGAAAAAGTGTTATTTATTATGACACTGAATGCATATCACAAGAGATCTTTAAATCTTTGTTTTTATATTTAGCATGACTTGTAAAAAAATCCCTACTGGCCCAAATATTTATTGTGTCAACTTGATATGAAAAGCTATTTTTAGGACCCAAATATAAGCAGGCAAACAAAGTAACTGTAAATGGACTATTAATTCTCTACAGTAGGTTGTGTGCATTTATTATCATTCTTCACTAACTTCTCATCGATCAAGCACTTCTTAGCACCAAAATCTAAATCATATTATTTCAAAATTTATTTTAAAAAAATCAGGATATCATGTAGGCATGCTAATATTCAGGCCTCCTTACTATGGTTATCTAATTTATGTTAATGAAAACATTACTATAGTACATATTTACCAAGTCTATTCTGCTAAATGCCATGAAATAGCACACACTGTATATTTAACGATGAGTTAGAATTGAAGTATGAGTCAATTTATGGTCGCCAGGTTTGAATCTGTTCTGGATTAAGTATGCAGGAGTCTGTGCCATAACGTATTGAAATAAAAAAATAGAAAAGGACAGAAATGTGACAAATGTCTATGAATTTATAAAGCAACAGTCAGTGTCTCCATCGAGAGTTTATTTTTATTTTTTATTTTTATTCTGAATCCATATCTCAAGAGATCATTTGAAATCATATTTAGCATGACTAATAAAAAAAACTATTATCCTAAATATTCAATGTGTTAACAGGCCTCCTTACTATGGTTATCTTATCTTCCCTATTCTGCCTTTTTTGCCTGGTGATTGTGGTTTAAAGTGGGCTAACCCACAGGTGTCATTACTGCTTTGAATCCATTTGATAGGTGCAGCAGGGAGACTGTTGGTTCAAAATATTTTAAAATACATCAATCCCATATTTTCGCATTAAAGAACATTTTTGAAGTTAATACAAAAGTATATTATAAATAGATACTGGCAATGAATTATATCTTATAACTGAACCCTGGTTTTGCAGTTTCACTTTGGCATTTACACACACACATACTCGTGTATAATCTAACAATCATCTTGAAGAATGAGTGGTGGATTATGAACTTCAGATGAAGGAAAGACGAGGTCTTCAGTTGACAGTGAAGTGGACAGGCAGAGAGACAGGGTCACAGGCAGAGAAGTGTCTCAGCTGGTGTCTCTCAGCACATCTAGCATATCATCTCCCGTAGTGAGTAGTTGGATTGCACGCGAGCTGAGCGGAGCTGGGCGCGTGCAGACCATCAGGCAGTGCATTCTTCGCCCCGGACTCATTTTCAGTCCTACACTTGGGTCTGAGTAAACAGCACCGCCCCGAAGGTTGTTTGTTTTAAGTGTGGAGCGATCCATCGCACAGCGCCGGGCTCGATTGACACTGTCTGCTGATCTGCTACTGCGGATTGCTCAGAATAACAAGGCTGCTCGCTAATTCCCGTCTATCGGGGCTTTCGCCGAAACACCGAGAGAGTAAGGGTCCAAAAAAAGCCAACAAGGCAGGCAAGACCGCCGCGCCGCCGGAGTCCGCACCCCACAATGGCTTCAGGAGACCTTTACGAGGTAGGATAAAAGCGTGTCCGCGGAAAAGGCTGTGTAATATTGACGAATAATGGAATTAGGAAGTAAAGGGGAGGGCGTCGCGTATGTAAAAGCGGTGTACTAAGCCCTTTAACAGGCGAAACTAACCCGTCGGAAGCTTCGCGAAGACGAGGTCGCTTAATTTATGCACTTACTTTGTGTCGCTTCTGCTATACTTTGAGAGGATTCTCGGCGGCTGTCGGAAATAGATAAGATGTATTTACGGGCTGAACTCGCCGAGTTGAAAGTCGTGGTAAAGTGACAGCAGCGCGGGCGAGCGGACGGACATGGTGAATAGCTCCAGACGGAGTGATGGTCCTGAAGGTGCGCATAAATGCCAAAAGATATTTAGTCATCCCAGCCTTTACAGCTGTGTGACTGTTTCTCTGCCTGTTTTTTTGGCACTTTAGATGAGACATCGGTTTATTTTTATCGGGCGGCGTAAACAAGTCTGTGTGAGCTTCTTTCATGTGTGGATTTCAGAAATTATGACTCCGGGACCAGCAGTGTTGGCGTAAAAGTTGCCCAAATGGGGGGCAGGAAGGTCACGCTGCCCTCGTGCGCAACATCACTCTGGAACCGGTGCCAGAATTTGCGTGAAGCCTGGTTTCCACACCAGCCTCACTTACTGTCATTAGCCCCTGTGATGCTGACCTGGTGTTAGGCTGTAGGTTTCAGCTCATGGTGCTGACAAAGACAGAGGGGGGAGGAGATGTGAGCCTCCTCAACTCTGCTCCGTGTTCAATCGTAAAGTTAACATTCAAATAATGCCACAATTATCCATCTGAGATGAAACTTGGGGGTTATCTGTGTGGTTTTAAAGTGACAGGATGTACTCCCAGTAGCTACACACCAGAGACATGTGCAGCAGGACACTTGCTAAAGACATTAGGTGGAAGAAGTTTGCAGCAGTTATAACTTGGCTCTAAAATCTCCTCTTAATGTTTGTTGAGGTCCTTGATTTAAGTATATTTTTCTGGCATATTCTAACCCCATTCAGTTCTGAAAATACCGCTAGCAGCTCCTTTGTTGCAAATTCACAAGTTGACTTTGGTCAAACGTCTTCTTTTGAGTCCTTAAAAAATGAAACCCAGATTTAAGTTTTTCACTTTGTTGAATCACCTTTTAAAGGGATATTCAGGCGTAAAATTAATCAAGGGTCAAACCCACCGAGTTAGACACCCCCTTGAGAGATGAATTTTGCCGACCGCTTGCTTCTCTAGTTTTTCAAACTTTAGTGACGACCGAAGGATAGCGATGCACCGCGGTCTGAGGAGCCATAAACAAACCTCAACCAAAACGCCACTCTATAGCCACAAATTATATTCAGAACTAACTTCATCAACAGTACATATAGGGTCCCAGTCATAGCACTAGCCACCAAATATCTTTTAAACTTTTAAACCTACTCTCTTCCAGCAGCCGCTTGTTTGTAGGGAGACTTCAGGCCAGTCCATTATGGACTGCTGTGGGGTGACGCAGCTCAAGGAAGAACATTTATGATAATTTCTTTATCATTTCCTTGAAGCAATAATGATCATATTAATTATTTTGCACTGCAGACACGGTAGTTCTTTTGCCTTAGCACCTTAGTCTGATTGCATTTCCATGAAGATTGCATTTCCATGTGCTGTTCTGAAGATTGTTTGTGGCTATAGAGGGACTTTTTGGTTGAGGTGTGCATATGGAGATGTAAACTACTCTGTATTGCTATCGTACGGTCATTATGAAAGTTGGTAAAACTAGAGAAGCAATGTCGGCAACATTCATCTCTCAAGGGGGTGTCTAACTTGGTGTTAAGGTGTGTTTGACCCTAAATTAATTTTACACCAGAATATCCCTTTAAGGTTCATAAATCTTTACAAGAATATTACTTTTTTTTGGTATATCAAAAGTTTAAGTAGCTGTGATAAGTGGAGATAACCCTCTCAGATTTGGGGTAAGCTCTTTGCATTCATGCACCTGGCTCCACTCATTAAATTGCTGCAGTTTGGCTCTATAGAAAGTCTGGCTACAAACAGTGATCTTATCAAAGTGCTCTTGAGAAATGAAGCCAATCCAAGAGTGCTAAATACTGCAGGTCCTTGAAGTTACCAGGTTAGAAGTTGTGCATTATTAGGAGCATGTCGAACAACAGGTAAACACACTGTAGCTGTTAGCTGCAAGAAGGCTGAAGGCCCACCTTAACTCCACCCATTCACCTGTTACTGGATTGACTGAAAAATTAGGTTGAGTCAGCATTTCTAATATGAAAATATCTTTCAAAATGCTGCTTTAAAAACAAGTTGTTGACGTCCCTGAGACTATGTCCATGATTAAAACTGTTTATGGCCTGCATGTAAGACTTGCTTCAGCTTCTGCTGCAGCCCTTGTAGCTGAAGGTTGATTAATTTTCTGTAATTGGCGTATTGTGATTTATATTACTGCCAATATAGTTTATGTTATGATTGACGCATGTGTTGGCAGGCTCAGCTTATTTAGAGTCATTTGAGCCATTAGATCCTGAACATGCTCCGGTGACAGTATGTTCCCCTCAGAGTGACTAGTGTCATGAAGCTGACTAGAGTTTGCTGGATCAGTTTTAAAATGAAACGACCAAATACATATTTAAAATATGGAGAATGGTGTGTCCTATTGTCAGAGTTTATAGCAAGTAATAACTTTGGTGAGTGTATGCCAGCGCCAATAAAGGGGTTGATAATGTTATTGATGTGGTGTGTTTGTAGCCTGCTGCAGGACGCTGTTTAATAAGTGCTGTTAATAATGTCATTTCACTGCCAGTCTGTTTTGGTAATCTTTTTTTATTTTATGAATCATTTGATGATTATGATAGTTGGGATTAAATAAGAGAGAAAGAAAAAAAGAAAGAAGAAACACAAAGATGAACTCCAACTCTTCTTCTTCTTCTATGTAAAAACAGGCTCTGGTATTGGGTTCCTCTCTAGTAATAATGAGTGGACAAAATGTGTTCAATATTGGAGGAAGAACAATGACAACAGATTTTTTGATAGCTCTGAATAATATTACACTCTCTGCTAACTCTTCACTGTTGCTTCAAGCTATTGTTTTTATAATTTACTAGATTTTTGGGGGTACTGGGTTGGTGCATTGACAGGCATACTGTGCAGAGGCCAACACTAATTCCCATATAACACACAAACTTGATCAGCCTCTGGAGCACGGATAAACCTGGACTTTTCCCCATAAAGAACATCTTGATATTACTCATAGGTTTGTAAAAAGACTGTGTTAAGCTTTACTGTGAGCTATTAAATGTCTTTTCAGGTGGAAATTCATTTTTTTGGAAAGTAGATATGAGAGTGAATGAGGCCAGGCTTTGACTGAAAGACTTGAGGATGTTTAACACAGTGACCTTCAGGACTGAATGAAAAAGACTGCGACCCTGGTCTGGTTTTGAAACTCATTACTTGTTTGGAAGAGGTGAAACGTGTGAAAGGAAAACCTGACTGATTTCAGCGGTTGGTGAAATGCAAGGTTGCATGCTGCGTTGATCTGTGACTGGGTCATTATTCTTTTTTCTTGATGGCAGTGGGTTAACTAACAAGCTGTGTTGCACTGATATGATGACATTAAGGCATCTGAGAAGTAAAAAGTGAAAGCAATACAGGAGACTCTTGGCTAAAGGTCAGGCTTTCTGCCGACTTTGTAAAATGCGACGAGGCAGCAGACACAGCGCAATAAACTTACAGTATCAGCTCTTAAAGTTTGTTTAAACCATTCATTTATGAAAGTTACTGTCAAGAGGTGCACATTACTCACTCTGGATTAAAAGAAAAACTTTTAAAATGTGCTGCAAGATAGACTCTGATCTTTTTCCATTCCTTTTTGCACAAATATGTTTTTTGTCCACTGCCAACAGCTGGAATTTTCTCCAAGTATTGAAACTTAGTCTAAAAACAAGCCCTTTGGGGACTCAAAGCCTCCTGAAAGCTTAAGTGTAAATGTCAAAAACAATGGATTTACACCTGTGCTCATGTGAACTGATAGAAAATGGCATCAACCCTTTGCCGTTTGAAGAGACAGGTCAAAAAAATGTGCTGAAGCTAGGCTTACTTCAGACAAGCCTCTGAATTTTTGGTTGTTCTGCTGTCATTCATTTTACATTGAGTATTTCCTGCAAATTTTGTACCTCTGAGTTTTGCAGTTTCTATTCAGAGACGCCTAATAATGTTCCCTTTCCCCCAAGGTTGTATGAGAGTAGTTGTGTGTGTGTGTCAGAAGGATATAACAACACCACAGAAAGTAAACTTGACAGTTTTATGGAGGAGGTTCAGTATGTTTTTTATATAGTGCAGATCTGAGGTCTATCAATGTGAGATGGAAAAAAAAAAAACACAGTAATCTCTTTCAAACGTACGTCTCAGTTGCCTTCCTCTTGATGACTGTGTTATGCTGACATTGGCCTGCTCCCTCCACTCACATCATCTTAAACTAAAGTTCATGTACTAGTGTTGAGAACTGGTTGTGACTGGTTTGGTCAGCTGGTTGTTTTATGGAAAAATATATACAATATAAGATTCACTTGTTTTTTTTGTCACCTTTCATTCAAAAACAAAGTCAGTTTGCTGATACAGTCACTTTGTGGTTTGTTGTGGGAGTGAGGCATCAAGTGAAGCCACTTCCTCAACACTCACAGGGAAGGATGCGTTTGATTTGCTGTTCTCATCCTCTTCAAATTCATGGACTGACTTCAAGAAGAGATTTTAGATATGACAGCTGTCTAATATTAGACATCAGTGTACGATTCTATTCTATAATGTCACTGCTTTTCCTCATACAAAGTTATATAGATGAGACTTGTTGTTTGTGGATTTGTCCAGTGAGTGTTTCATTTCTTTATCTCTCATAAAGGCCTTTGGGTTAAGCCCTTTTCACACATACACTTCTATAACTTCCTCACACTGGGTATGTTAACATGTTGTTTAAATATAATTGAATGCATTAGTCTGACTTAAAATTGACTTTTTAAAGCATGTAATGGTGGTTGTCTGACTTAAATTGCTCTAAATCAAACTTCTTATAGTCAGAATAACATATCTGTAACTGCCCTATGCATTTTGTGCACAACCTGGAAGTTGAATAGCATTAGTGTTAATTTTAGCAGCTATTTTAGGGTTAGCCTCTCAGTGGACTTGGACTAAAAATTCACTTATTTTTAAGCACATTTTAGTCTTTTTTGGCCTTTATGGCTTTCATCTAGTTTTTGTTGACAAAAACCCAAAGCATTTTACTTAAGATGTTTTTAATAAAAAAGTCTTTACATTTTGTTCATCAAAACTTTTTCTGTTTTCAAACTGATTCAGTCAGCCAATTTAAAACTGGTTCGAAGGTTTTGCTGTTGTTTAAACTGGTAGTCTTTAACTCTATAGGATTGAACATGTGTGACATTTTATATTTTAATTTTTCTAGTGATGGATTAGATGTGCAGGGAGGGAAATGTGATGAACTTTTAATGTCCAGTGTTCCACTTAAAACAGTTGCACCTTGCCATCATCACCTTAACAAAAATAAAAGCTATCAGTTAGTGAAGTCTAAAGGCAGCAAAAAGTCAGAGTTAGCTAATGTGGTCAGAAAATTGTACCACTAGCGAGTTTTCGGTGTCATGACATTTGTATTTGAGTTTTTCCTTTTTTTTCCCTTTTTTTTTGCACTACAATTGTCAGCATTTTTTTTAACACTCTTGTGTTTGTGCTACAAAAATATCTCAATACAGGTTGTAGTTATAGTCACACAGCAGTTATCATTGCTGAGAACTCCCCCCTCCACTTCTCAGCCTCCCTCTGTCACCTAAACCAAACAGGGTATTTCAAGATGTGAGAGCCTGTCACAGTTAATGTTCTGGCACATTCCTGAAAATAATTTTTAAATGAGGATTTTTGATTTCGTGTGTGAAAAGGGTTTGAGATTAGATCATTACACTGCACCGGCCAAATCAAACAGACTGCACATTGGAGATGCATCCTTCTATCTTAATGCTCCAGTATGTGTACGCTGTAGACACTTTGAAGCTTCTGCTCGAAGCTGCATCTCCTTCACGATGCCCTGAACATTTATCCTGGTGAGTTTTTTGATCTTCAGCATTTTTATCTTATCTGCAGAATTTTGTTTATGAAGGAAAATATTTCAGCACCTCTTTGACAAATTCCAATGTAACGCTTTCACACGACGTTTAACTTTTAACAACTTTAGTGAGGTTCCTGTTACTGGAGACGTTTATATGTTTCATGCATATGTCTCTCTGAACTGACCATGTAAAGGAAGTCAGTAAGAACCAAAAGAACAGCTCTGTGAAAATGTGCTCTTCAATCAGTCTGTGGCTGTAGTCTGTGTTCATTACCTAAATGAGTAAAACAGTAGCTCGTAACGCTACTCGCTCCGGTCTATGTGTGGAGAATGAGGTGTCAATGAGGTGGATTTCAGCTGAGGGATTTCAGTGAGATCACCAGGCTCGGAGAAAAGATAACAATGTGTTGGTGTGGTCTGAGACAGGTGATGACAGGTATGTCATGCACACCATGACATCACTTTTTGGTGTGGTTAAAGGTGCATCAGTAGAAACCTTTTGACCCTCTCTCTTCATCCACTAGAAGTCTGTCATGCGAACTGAACAAACTGTCTTGTCAAACCCTTTTTGCACTCAGATTTGCAGCTGACAGACAGATATGCCAACCTTCACTGTTCCAGCCTGTGCATGGAGTTACTGAAGCCCTCACTTTTCATCCCTTTACATTTAACACACATGTTATGTGGTAGAGTGTGACAAATTCTGGGTCTTTAAGTCTTCAAAGTCCCTCTTCAGTTTAAGGACACACCAAAAACTCATCCAATGGTGCAATCCACTCCTGAAGTTTTGGAGAATAGTGTTCATGCTGCCTTTAAAGGGATATTTCAGCGTAAATTTAAGTTATGGTCTAATACACCATAACACCAAGTTAGACACCCCCTCAAGAGATGAATGTTGCCGACTGCTTGCTTCTCTAGTTAAACCAAGTTCAGCAACAACCGCACAATAGCAATACACAGCGGTCTATGGATCCACGTACAAACCTCAACCAAAAAGCCACTCTATAGCCACAAACAATGCTCAGAACAGCACCTAGCTTCATCAGCAGTATAGGGTCCCAGCCACAGTACTTGCCACCAAACATCTTTTTAGCTTGGCCTGATTTCCTTAAAAAGAGACCAAACACAACTCACCCACTCTCCTCCAATAGCTGCTTGTTTGTGGGCCATGGCGAGTTGATCACTGAGTGCAGCGGAAAATTTATGATTATTACTTGATGGAAATGCAATCAGACTGAGACGCTAAGGCAGAAGAACTACCGTGTCTGCAGTGCACATACAAGATACACAAGAACTCTGATTGAATTTCCATGAAGTAATAATCATAAATGTGCTTCCTTGATCTGCAAAACTCTGCTGCACTCGGTGATCGACTCGCCAGGGCTTCCCCACAAACAAGCAGCTGCTGGAGGAGAGTGGATGAGTTGTGTTTGGTCTCTTTACTAAAGAAACCAGGCAACGCTAAAACAATATTTAGTGGCTAGTACTATGCTGGGACCCTATATGTACTGTTGATGAAGTTAGGTGCTGTTCTGAGCATTATTTGTTGCTATAGAGTGGCTTTTTGGTTGAGGTTTGAGCGTGGAGACATAGACCACTGTGTATTGCTATCGTACAGCTGTTACCAAAGTTGGTATCACTAGAGAAGTAAGCAGTCAGTAACATTTATCTTTTGAGGGGTTGTCTAACTCGGTGTTACAATACGCCGGAATATCCCTTTAACCGCTTAAAAATGTTTAAATATATCTACCAGTTCTGGGTTAACAAGCGTTTCCTGATTGATCTCCACTGCTCAGAGAAAAAAAGAGATGGTTTCTGATCTTGTTCAAAAAGAAAAAAAGTTAAATGTGGCACTGAGGTTTTGGATGAGGATTTTTCTCAGTTTTAGCAAAAGTTGAACTGACACAAGAAAAAGAGGTTAATGGGAATCACAGGAGGTGATCATTTATAGTGCAGTGAACGAACACTGTTGAGTGTCTGGCATTCATTTTCCAATATAACTCCAGGAGTGGATTAGAAACGAGGCAACTGTCAGATAAAACAGCAAACAAACCATTTACCCAGTGTGAACTCATCTATGGGTGGCATATAGACTGTATAGAACAAAGACATGATTTCAGTATTGAAGACCCAGTTTGAAGAGATATTTGGAAGCCACATGACGGCAGATCAAATCTGGCGACTCACTGAGCCTAACTTATAGAAACCATCAAAATGATAGAGATACTTCAGTATTTTTAAAGTAAGGTTGTATGAGTTCTATGTCACCTGGAAGTATATTGGCCATAATGGATGTTGGTCAAAAACCATTGAGAGGAAGAGCTGACAGAGCTGTTGACGTGCTGTTTACTGTTGACTCGCATGGACACTTTGGACACTATGATCAGGAGTTTACAGAGGGGTAAAAAAGGCAACTTAGGAAAAAATAAGAAGAGCTCCTAAGTTTCCTCTCTGTGTAGGTCAAGTCAATTCAAAGTTTATTTATAAAGCACCTTTAAAAGACAGCAGTCAAACAAAGTGCTGTACATGGGATGAATAATAGAAGTAAATAAATAGATGGATAACAATAAAAAATAAATAAAATTAAAAACAGTGGAATAAAATACACACAGTACAAGGTGTGTAAACCTGCACCAACAGGTAATATGTTAACATCTTTGTTGGGTTCTGCTGTAAAAATAATCAAAGCTGGGCTCCACTGATTAGCCAAATACTGTGAATGCATGTTTATTACAGTTCCATGTTAAAGTTCAAGTTTTTTCTTTTTTCTTCTTCCATCAACAGCAGTGTTTTGCTTGTTGTTTATTTTGCAGAAATAATGCAAATCATAATTTCTTACCAAACACCAAGTACAAAGTCTGTTATCTATTCACTGACCCCACCCCCAACCCTGCACCATGTGTCCCGGAACATGCCTGGTGGAAATCAGGTCTCACAGAGTTCACTCTCTGGTTTAAAGCAACCATTTGGGTGAAACAAAAGTGAGCTCAAACAGAGTTATGACATGCACATCCTTTGTGTTGTAGGACTGTGTGTACACAACTTCACTCCAACAGCTCAGTGTTGATCAAAGGTTGAGCAGAATGAAGCAACTCAAGATGTGGTGGACTTTTTTACTTTGGGGATTTGGGGTAAATGTTACCCAGAGGAATGAGTTAGATTGTCTCTTAACTGGAAATCTGAATTTCCTCTTTTCACTCTTATGTAAAAGCCTGCTGTCGGGAAACCTTCCCAGGCCTGCTGTCATTGTGCAGCGTATTAAAGCATAATGATGTTCAACTGGATTTTGAGTATGACATTCACACCGTGGTGATGATGGTCATTGCTTTGCACTGAGTGTTTTGGAGAGGTACTGTAAGCTTATAAGTCCAGCTTTGATGTTGTCCTTTTCAGTGGACTTGAGTGCTGCAATTTTCTAGACTTGTTGGGCTGTTCTGGCTTGTTGGAGTGGGTGGATGAGTATGTCCACACAAAGCTGTAAAAGCATCTTTTTTCTCTCCATTTGCAGTCTCCTGTCCACTCCAAAACCATGTTATCTCAGCCAAAGGAGAAACTTTCAAAAGTGAATTCCAGTGTATAGATTTTTAGATGCTTGCTCTCGGTGTGTGGGGATTTGGTCTGAAAAGTAGGAAAGTTATAAAGTCACCCCTTCAGTCAACTCTCTTCCCACAGTTATAGGTCATTTTTATGCTGCGAGAGACAAAAGAAGGTGCATCTGTTATGAAAACCTGCATTTGCACCAACTCTCTGCAGGCGTTATAGAGAATAACCAACATTTCAGTCCGGTGGCCTTACATCAAAGTCCTCTTTCTTGTAATGCGGATAACTGTATGGTCCCTTACCCCCAGATGTTGGCTGTGATGCTCAGTTTCATTGTTTGCCAACTTAAACGAGGATGAAAAAGAAAAAGATTTTGACCTTTTCCCCCTTGCGCTGAAAGGACCCCTAGAAAAGTACCTGGCACAAGTTGTTTCACCCAAAAATAGCATTTTTCAGCTCGGCAGATCAGTGTTTGGTCCTCATGTCAACATTCCTGCTGATGGTTTGTCAGAGTTTATACACAGCATGTGATGAACTCAGTACCTTCTGGTCGTGTTGAGGATACGCTGCCCCACATTTACTGATTTCATGCCAGCTTATACTCGAGCATCAAGTGTTTCTGAACCTCTCGGCTCTGTGTGCACAAGTTTACCCCACGCTTTCTCTCTTTTTCTCTGCATGTGTCTTTCTCTGCAGTGCTGTTTAGCATGGCATTGTTTGGGACAGAACGCAACCTAATCGTCTCTTGGTTTCTGTGACACCCCTGCGGCTCACCCATCAAAGGCTGTTTATCCCCCTTAATGTGAGCAGCACATCTGAGAAGATGATGAGTGGTTATTACCACAGCTGTAAGACAGTCTCTGATGACACCTTCCAACATTTTCCGTCAGTCTCTTTGCTCCTCACAAATGAGCATTATTTAACATATTCTCACTCAACTGTGTCTTGTTTGCATTCCTGCTTGTCCTTAGAGTAAATGTAACCGACTGCTGTGAAATCATAAAAACACAAAGATGTTTTGTGTGTGCATTTTGTGGCTTCGTTATATGTTTGTTGTGCTGCAGCCAGTAATCCCTATGTATGCATATCCATCTAACAGCAGTGGTGCAGGGCTAATTGTGAATTGCTGTGATATTCTTGTGGTGTATATGGTGATGTTGGTCTCTGGTTATTAGCTCCAGAGAAAAATGCTGCATTAATCTCCAGCAGCCATAAGCCTACGTCTAAGTTCCTTTAAAAGAGCAGGGGCAGAGAGTGATGATTGGAGTCACTCCAGTCATGATACCCCAGACGCAGTTACTGTAAATTGTTGTTGGCAAATGTGTGAAATGCTGTTATTACACGCTGCGTTTGAGTCATCAATTGACAGCCGAGCCACGCCATACTGCCAGGGACACAAGTTGAGTGTCTGAGGATGTGAGACCCGCTACATCTGTGAGTCACCATGAATTTATTTTAGTTAGTGTGAGCATAGATGGACCTGCGCCACTTCTGCCATCCTCTCATGATGTCATGTTAAGGGTGGGAAACTTGTAAAGTGCTATCATGTATTATTAATCTGAAAAAAAAACCCTTTCACACATGAAGAAAGTCCCTTAAAATGTCTCAAAGTTATGCTGGTGAGCTGTAAATGTGAACACAAACAGCCAAGTTATCCTCTTTACTTCACCCGGATTACCGCCTGCTAACCCCCTAGTGTCATTTTGGGGTAAAATTCGAGTGAGGTCATGTGAGGACGCAACAGCAAATCCTCTGTAAAATTCCCTGCTGGTGTTGTGGGAAGTTTTGCTTCTTGGTAAAACTGTAGCTGTAGCAAAAATCAATAACATTTATTAATTTAACCTTTATTTAGCAGGGTGAGCCCCGCTGCATTCAGAGATATTTTTTTTCTTCCAAAGGATACCAAGCCAAGGATGGCAGCAACACAAAGTTTAGGAAGCAAAACACAGTCACAGGATAGAGCTAGAACATCAATCACAGAAGAAACCTTTGCATGCAGAAAGTCTGGATTATAGACTTCTCACACCTATTGCAGTAAACCCAGATTAATGAAGTTTGTTTAAAATCAGCCTGTAAATCAGTCTAAATCAAACATTTTCAAACACAGAGATCCAATCCACTTCTTCAGTGAGCAATATTTAGTAGCAATAAAGCAAATTTATGTGTGGTTCGTATTAAACATTGAGTTTGTTTTTGAATCTTTAAAGCATTAAACACAAACTTTTCACAGACTCATCAATTTTTCAGCACTTTTTGTTTTGCTTACCATGCTGCATACTGATAAAACTGTTTCAGAAAAAAATGATCACTCTCTCATTATTTGATTGGTAATTCAGCGAGCATAATAATTTGAAGACTTGCTTTTGTTAACTAACTTTTAACTTTTAAATTAACTTTCTTTCGTCATGTTAAAAAGCCTGAATTTTGTCTTACTAAACTAATAAACTTCTGTATGGCAACATCTTTGCTTTATATTAAGGCTTGGTTATTTTTATTTATTAATCCTGTTTAATGAGAACAACATGGGCTTTCCTACTTCTGTTGTGACCTTAAAAAGCAGATTTTTAAGGTGTCTTCATAACAGCCTGCAGCTCGTCTTAGCTCCACTCAGGCCTCTTATCTTTCCTCTGCAGGGAATTAGCTCTTATCTTAAAGTCGACATATGTCACAAAATGTTTCTTTTTAAAGATTTAACACCCCCTGGCAATGTCTCAGAAATGAGAGCTCACGTGTATTAAAAAACAAAGGTTCATCCTCTGGGGACTATATAAGTGCAAAGCCACTTTCTCTCTGACAAATCTGTTTTGATCAAGTATAATCTTGAATGTAACAGGAAAAAACTTCTATTATCATAGACATGGCTCAAATGTGACATGAGGGTAAACCTTTTTTCCTTTTCCTCATTCGATAAGCAGATAATACTGTATCAATTGATTGGAAACAGATTCACTTCACTCTTCCTCAGCTTGGGTTTGAGGTTCATGGTCCCTCTCTGGCATCATCTCTTTGTTTTAGCTGTTGTCCAAAACCAGATGTGAATGCGTCAGTTTTCTAATTGTGTTTAAAAGTCTGGCTTCATGCGTCTTCGCTGCTCTGAGTACCAAAAGGAAACAAACAGACACAAGGTCTGTCTCCTACACGGTATTTCTGCAGGATTGGAGATTGTGACTGTGTTAGGAGGTTTTAGAAAAAAAGTAGCTGCATGAGCTACAAGTGTTGGACTGTCATAGGAATATTGTGCTACTATATGATACTGTGGATAAGAAATAATCAAAAAATGAGAGTACACTGTTATAATCATTTTTTTCATCTTTTAACAGACATCGAGAGATTTTTTTTGGTTCAATTATTTTAACTCTTTGTCTGACTCGTCATCTTTTTGTTTGCTGTCCAAAGGTGGAGCGGATCGTGGACAAAAGGCGGAACAAGAAGGGGAAGTGGGAGTACCTGATCAGGTGGAAAGGTTATGGCAGTAAGGAGGACACGTGGGAGCCAGAGCATCACCTCCTGCACTGTGAAGAGTTCATCGACCAGTTCAACAGCTTGAGGCTGCACTCGCACAAAAGACCCAAAGTCCCCAAAAGTCGTCAGGAATCCACTTTCCCAGGCCACCAGCCAGCCACAGAAAACTCCAGAGCTCGGTCTGAGGCTCGGAAGAAGAAAAGGACTTTCGGCCCGGCTGTTGGGGTCAGAGTCGGAGCTGTTTTAGGGATGGGTGGTGGAGGGTCGGGACACAGTCAGAAGCAGAAGAAGGTGGGTGTAACGCCTGGGAAACATGCACTAGGAGACAGATTAGGCAAAGTCATGACGTATAAGGCTACTCCTCAGGGGGGTCCTCACCTTGTCCCTCCACTGAGGGTTTCTCATAATGGACTCCAGAATGGAGAGATGGAGCCTCTTATGTACAGATCAGCCGCAAGGCCACATCGACCACCTGTGGACAAAGTGGAGGGGGTAACAGGAGACACGGACAACACTGGACAGCAGTTCACCACTGAGAGAGGTGAGTTATTAAGACACAAAAAGAAATGAAACACGAAGAAATAGCAGTTGTGATCGGAAGTTTGAGGTTCAGGATCTAAGAAATAGTTATTCACAATAATTTACAGAAAAAATGTCTCCCTAGACTTTACAAAATAAAAAAACAGCCTCTAAAAACATGCTTTTAATTTCTAAGAACCAGAGTGTTCTCTTCTTTCTCTTTTCCATCTCTTCTCTTTATCGTCCTGTTATGATTTTGCTGTTAGAAATTAAAGGCAGAATGGCAACAAACAACATCGTACAGAAACATACAAGTTAGATAGTTGTGCTCTGAATGGAAACACATGCTGGACAGTCACCTGCTCAACACAGTCAGCCATTCTGCTCTTGGTGGGCAGAGACACATGCGGTTGGTCCATGCAAGCACATGTGAGTTTTCAGTTTTCTTCTGTGGAGAAAAGTTAAAACTGCCTCCTTTATGGTGCCTTTGAACATTCTCGTCCATGTCACACAGCTGAAAAAACACTGTATTTATGTTAGGAAGTATTTTTGTTGTGCTTTTTTGGCCTTTATCTGACAGCATGGCTCGATGAATAGAGCAGATAGTTGGGGGAGGGAGTAGGAAGAGACATGCAGGACAGGAGCCGCATGTCAGAGTTGTACATGAGCCGCCATTAACATGGGCAGCTAGGCCAGCTGTGCTCCACTATCTATGGTTTTGTATGAAAAATAAATAAGCTGAAAGCTCCCATGAGAAAATTTCAGTTTGTGCCGATTATGGCGCCCCCTGTGGACAAAGCAAGGCAAAGTTTATTTGTATTGCACCATTCATACACAAGGCAATTCACAGTGCTCTACAGATGCAAGGAAATACATTGGAGATAAAAAAAAGAGAACTTAAAACAATTTAAGATCAATTATAATAATGATCAATTTCCACCACATCCAAAATGGCTACAAAAAGGCCGTATTCACCGATTGCAGCTGATCGTAACCATTCAAGTTCATGTGTCAATTTCCACCGGCCTCGTTCCGTTATGCTGCGGATTGCCAGACTCCACAGCTGATCGCAAGAGTTCTGTTGTTTCCGGACGCCGGAGCATGCCAGATAAATTCAGCGCAGATTCACCCATGCTGAAAAGGAAGTCACGTACAGACACAAAGTAAAACATCCAGCTTCTTTTCAAAATAAAACACATGGATCGTATTTCACACCATGCAAACGGGCGAAGACGAACGAGTGAAAAGTTTTTAGACAGCATTTCATCCCGATGACACCATGGATGAGGTGATGCTGATTTTAGAAGTCTAGAGGTGGATCTCCTCTTTTTGAAGGACACAGTCTACTGCTTTTATGGTTAGCCTCTGTGGCTGTCTATATAGAGATAACTCGTTATTGCGTGATTGCACATGAATCTGCGGGTTCTTGTGAGTTCTCGTGATTACCGCTGTCAGTAATCCGCCACAAAATTCGCCTCAAGAACGAATTCAGTAGGAATTGGCGGATGGCGAAAATCGACGCCGTTCTGGATCGGAGCTGTTCCGGATGGGGTGAAAATTGGGGTAAGACATAAAACAATCTAAAATCAATAAGACCAACGGATATTTTTTTTTTATGTCTTCAGTGTTTGCCCTGATTACTTATGAAAACCGTCAGTTCCCAGAAAAACAAAATAAGTCACAAGCTTTCAGACCCAGAACCCCCCAGATGATAAGAAGTTTTCTCTTCGTCCATCTAGTACGATGTTAGTTTTCTCTTCATCTCTCAGACGTAATTAGTTTAGTGTATGTTTTATCTTGTTTTTTTACATACTTAAGTTGCATCCTCCAACACAATTCCTTTCTTATCCTGCCGACTAGTTAAACGTGTCTTTTATAGCGAATATTTAATGAGGAAAATGTAAAAACAGGAGTTTCTGCAGCTGCTTGACTGACACTGTTTGCTGATGGTCTTTTTTGTTTTTTTTATTTAATTAAAAAAGCATCAATATGAATATCAGTCCATTTCCTGAACATCAAGAAGCTCACAGGAACTTTAAGTAATTTCTTTGCATATATAAGATTTAAACAACAGCTGGAAAAAATGCTTAAAATAAATACTGACCCATTTATAATTGCTAAAGTAAACAGTATCCTTCATTTATAATACAGAACAGTGATTTCAAAACTGTGTTTTAGTTGGCACAAACTGGTTGAAAACTGGTTGCACTGGTTGTGCAGAAATCTCTTGTAAAGTTTTTAAAGATTTGAAGACAATGGAGGAGAGAACAAGAACAGGAGGGTGCCACTGACAGCTGGCCGTAATCCCAACCACAAATGTTTTGCCTTATCCAGTGTTAAATTTAGCCTTAACTAACTTGAGATAACAAAAAAATCTTCATCTTGATGAACATGTGATCAACAGTCTATGTAATACTGGAGTTTTTCTAAATAACCTCTGAGTGGATTTTTTAGCCCATTGTGCTCAAGTTCTTGGTTATATATTTTCTTTTATACAAGCCAAAGATAGATCTGTGATAAGCTAAAAATGGCTTATGGCGTCTATCAGCCGAGCAGATGTATCTGTTCGTGTCTAATGGGAAATGTAGTGGAGTGTGAACTTTTCTTCATGAATATGAATAACACAGGTACTGAAAAGTTCTCAGCACACCAGGCTGCTGCTGCTGCTGCTGCACTCAGAGGTCTGTTCAGGTATCCCACCATCAGCTCTTTATGAGGTTTATAAAATCTTTCTGCGTGATGAATATTACCTCTTGCATGATCGATTAGGTGTCTATAAAAGATAAACACAGTATGTTTCAACAGGAAAACTCTTAAATTGTAGAGACTAGTGCTGACACATGGCTCTTTAACCTCTCGCTGTGGCTCTTTACAGCAGGAGCAGCTGATAACACCTCTGAATTTCACTCCCGGGTCACAGTCCATCCTTCACCACTCTGGTTAATAATTATATACAATTGAAATAGTCATTTAACCAAACCTGAATGGGTTTGTTTTTCTCACCAAAATTCACATACCAGCTGTGCAATTATAAATTTAACAACATGGACAAGTTTTGTTTTTTGAACTGTTGTGTTTCGCAGCTCAAATTAACTTCAGTCGTGCTCTTCCCCACCATTATCATCAGCATCAGCCTTTATTTAAACCCTGAAAATCACTGAGGTTTCCACATTTACAACAATGTCAAGATACGATTAAAACAAACCAAAACAAACTCAACAGATTAGTTTTCAGTGAAAGCAACTTCAGACGGAGACTAATGGTTTGAGATAATTGTCTCAGTGTGAGTGTTGTTCCTTAGATATCATTGTAAATAATTCCTCTTGTCTAGAGCACAAAAACTAAAGGCTGATTTTTAAGTTTAGATCAAACCTGAAGCATTTTAGAGTCAGTTTGATCAGGTCCTGTGGTCTAGTTTAGCTCATTTCGTATAAACAGTGCATTGGTGGATGTCCAGTAGTGTTAGTTTTGGCCGCTTAGTCTCAGTCTTTGGAAGAAAAACTCAAACATGTCTAGTTTTAGTCAATAACAGTCATTTTGTTTTAGGCATAACTCTTAAGGTTCTTTCACACGGGACCGTTTTTGTCGTGCAATTATTTCTGCGATATTGCGGCATTTAGTCTTCAGATCATGTATGTGAAACTTTTTCTAAAGTTTCGCATACTATATGTCCACTTCTGACCAATCAGATTGCGTGTTGTTGTGGCATCTGAGTCACCGGTAAAGCCAACATGGCCGACCGGCTGATTGTTTACATGTCGGAAAACAGAGTGTTTATTGATTCTCTATCACAATGCAATGCTGCTGTGCTGTCACTCTGATCTACTTAGGTGAGGAAAGTTTATTAAACACAGAAAAAATTGGTAATATAAAGGAATGATCTTTACTTCAAAACAAGACATTAAACACTCTTTCTGTGGCTACTATATCTATGTGATTAAGAACATTTTTAACTTTAAATGAACCCCATTAACTACACATGTACAGTATAAGTTCATAATAAAAGGTGCTGTGTTCTACTTGTTAGACTGATCCATTAGCTGACTAATTAATCAGCCCATATGTTGCTGGCTTAGATAACCATGAATATTTGATTTTAATGTGTGTTAAGTGATGGATTTATAGATAACTTTAAAGCAAATATAGCTGCAATATTTACTTTTAATTTTTCTTTTCTATACATAATATGATCAGATGTTCAGCTCAGCATATTTTTTTCCTGATTGGTTAGTGTTATCAAATTGTTTTATCTTTTCAAAGGCAAGACAAAGAAAAGACAAAAATGCAGAGGAGTCAAACCCAGTAGAACAAAGTGTTTGAATATAAAAGCTTCTTTTGATAGGTTAAAAAAAAACCTTGTCTCTTTTGGAAACAAGATGATTCAAAGTGATGTGACAGCAGAGACAGTGTTATGTAGGAATTTGACACAAGACTGATGAGAGCTGCAAATGGAAAGACCTTGAGTTGGTTATTTATCTGTGATTTAAGGATTTCAGTCTGACAGAGAAGTTTGGATACGGGACAGAAATGACTTTGATCACCATTGTCCCCTCCTTATGCCATGGAGCACGTAAGCAGTTTTTCAGAGATTGACACAAATAGACAGATAAAAATGTGTTTCATTTGCTCCCAAATAAGAGGAAATTAAAAAGAAGGGATCAGGGTTATCTTCACCAGCTGATATCCTGGGATATTAGCTTCATACATTGTATTGAGATTAAGTGGTAAGTGAGAAGTTTGATTCACAGGGTGTGTTAGGGTGGCCCTGACGGTTGACTGCTTTAAGATTTGTTGACATAGATAAACAAATAAATGAATGAAAAGCAAATAAAAAAATTATGGGACCCCCAAAACATTTCAATAAACATAAACCCATTTCATAATACTCCAAAAATTCATGTAGAAAAAAAAAACATAAAATATCGAAAAAGAAACAAAATTATTCAGGAAACAGAAATGTAAAAAAAAAAACAAACAAAAAAAAAACCTGATAGATATTCTATGATTAAAAAAATTCACAAAATGCAAAACCTATATTTATTCATGAAAAGTCCACTTTGGACTTGTACATGAAAAGTTCGGAAAAATGTCATTTTTCTTACTGAACACAAATATTCTGCAAATTATGAAAAAATCAAGAGTGCCAGACAGTTTATGAAATCATGTTTCATGTTTTTTTTGTTTGTTTGTTTTGCCTTTTTAGTTGTTTCATTTGGTCAAAAAAATGTGCATGTTGTGTATCTGACATTCTCTGAAATTTATCCTCTGGTTGTGACGTTTAGTGAAAAAGGATTGTTGTTGTAAAATGTCCGAGTTGTTAACTACTTTGGATTGAAAAACAAATGATTTTTAATCAAACAACCATGACTGTCTGTAAAAGTTCTGTCAGAAATCAGTCCTTCCGCATGTAAAACCATTTTATTTTTGACCATGAGATCTCTATGCTATCACCATCCTTTATGTTGTTGCTTTGTCTCTATAGCACTGATGCTAATGATCTCTCCGTGAATACACAAGCCTCAAGTCTCCTCCATTTGCACTCTTGCCTAAGCACTGACAGTGGTTGCTGTTGTTCCTACACACCTGCAGCAAGGGTGGTGCACAGGGGGTCATTTAATTTCACCTCTTCAAGCACAAATGTCTAAAAAAATAGTTCTTTCTTCACAACATAGACAGTTTAGAGGCATGCTGATGTCTGATTGATTAACCTTTCAACATTCAGTATTCCTTTTAAAGCTTGTTCCACTAAAGAGAAAAAATGGGCGATAAATCAAAACAGGTAAATTTTCCTGCTCACGATCTATCTTGTTTAGCATCTAAAACCTGCAGCAGCACAAAGGAAAGTCTTCCCATTATTCTCGGAGTGAAGACAGCTGCAGACTAATTGTGTGACAGTGTTTGAGACAAGAGCATCTTTGCAAAAATCAGCTGACGAATTGTGCCGACAGCACCTCCTGTTTCAAACTTTGAAACACTGTTAGAGGAATAAAAGGCGACAGCACATCCTGCAAATACTGCGAGCATTCGACAGCCATCTATTCAGGCTGGTGTCCGTGTTTGATCCTCTTCTGCAGAATTGAATTGAAACAGACTCAATTTGAAAATCTGTGATAATCAGATTTCATTTTGCAGAGTCAGACTCCACAAGAATGTGTTTGAGAAAGACCCAAATGGATCAGGTTTAACTGCACTGTAACAAAAAGGCATTTCTCATGTCACCGGTCCAAATTACTCTTCCCGTAAAGTGTTTTGTTTAATACCCCAAAACATTAGAAACATTTTTTTCCTCATCTCATTTCCTTTTGCTTATCTTATTGATTTTTTAAGTTCAAGTTCAACAAACTTCTTGGTACTGTGCTTTCATCCTTTTCTTAAAACAGCAGTAAAAGCTCTCAGTGAAAGCCTCAGTCAGTCTTTGAAGCTTAATTCTTCATTCAGAGAAAAGTTGAATCCAAATTTAAACCCCCTGTTTGTGTCTGAGACTAAAAACGAACTATCTGAGGTAAACATAAAGCATCCCACCCTTTTATTGTGAGAAAGTCTGTGTTTGTTTTTCAGTGATGTATTGTTTATTTGTCTTCACTTCATCACTGGATCTCAGATAGAGGACTAATGCATTGCTTAACTAATGGTGCTTTTTTCGTTCATCAATTCAGCTGATAAAAGTGCACAGCCGAGGCTGTTATTCAGCTTGTGTAGATACCTTTTGTTCAATACGTGGTACACATCAGTGTTTCGATGAGATTAGCTCTTTATGGACCTTAGTTCACTTCTAAGGCATAATGTCTTTAGATGCAGGAACTCCTCGAAGAAAGGTTTGAATTCAGGAAAAAGGCTTATGCAATGACACATGCGATTTTTCAAACTCTATCTCAACATGAAATTTAATGTTATTTGCTGTAAAAAAGAAAGAAATGCAAAATGATGAACATTTTTGGAAGACTTTAAAAAAATACAGCCAGCAACTGGTGTGCATGAACGCTTGCATATATAAGAGTTTCTCTTACAATTGCTCAAAGACTTTGAGTTTTATGCCCTCGTGAGGTTAAACATTTCTGTCTATGCTCTAGTCTGGGATGGGCAGGTTCCATGCTGCAAGAATGCATTATAATCAGCTAGAAATGCTATCTAAGCACTGATATATTGCACCGGGGCAAGTGTTAGGCAAGCTTAGACTAAAAATGAGTGAGCTCAAAGTTTAGTTTAGAGGTTAAAATGAATTAATACCTTCATTATTGTAAACTGCACCAAAATTCTCCTGATCTTCAAACCCACAGTCACTGAAATTTTCTAAACCAAATTATTATTTCTTTTTTTTTTTTTTTAAAGCAGACAGATAGTGAAAGTTCTGTTTGAGTCTTTTTTTCCCAGTTGAACATGGGAACATCGACAGCTTTGGAAACTTAAAAACACACATAAAACTGTTATTTGTACTCGCAACTACACAGTAAGCATCTGCTTTATAAAAGATAATGTTAGTGAGATGATTTTCATGCACCCTGAAATAGAAGGGCCAAAAGAAACAGAAGAAAAAAACTACAAATTGAAATTATTTTCCATCCTTACTAAGTTACACCTCTCATTGCTGTCCATGAGCTGCAAACTGAGTCGTTCAGTTCACTGTTCACCAGAACATGTGTGTACTCGATGTGTGGACAGGAGAAACTGTGCTGACTGTGGCATGAGTCTGAAATAACCCAACACGTTCTCTCGGTCTTTTCCATTCAGGTGTGATCCTAATGGGTATGACACAGTGACAGTTTGAATCAGTCTAAGGTCCTTTTTATCTCCTTTTGTACTTATTAAGGTGTTTCATTACTTTTTTTCTAAATTGACATCATCTTTCACAATCACCTCCTCAATCTGGTTGCACTTTCTTTAAAAGTTATAAAGGAATGGCTTGTTTGGTAATGCAAATTTGTACGTTCAGAGCTCTTGTGATTCCAGGTCACGTAATATCTTGTGGGGACTTGAAATGATGAAAACTGATGAGTAGTTATCTGCATGATTTATGGCAAGCTGAAGCATAAAAGTGGCACACCACAGAGACAGGAGAAGTGACAAGGGGATAAGTATTAAGCTTAAACTGGCAAATTTTTATTTAAGAAGCAGCATGATAGATGCAGGGTAGAGTGAGTGGAACAGCTGTATTAGCAATGAAGAACAGCAGACTCAGAAATATGGACCTGGAATTCAAGTTTTAGCCATATGACTGTTCCCTCTGTCTGTTTGATTGAATTTAGCTGCCATGCTGTAGATGATAAGAGTTGAAGTTTGTAAGTGACTGTATCAGGGGCTGTCATTCATGCTGGATTTTCCTTTGGTTGTGTAACATGCAGTGTTATCCAGAGCTCTTTGCAGTCTTCAGTCATTTGGTGCAAGCTTTTAGATGACTGCTCTTCATTGTTCTGATCATTGAAAGAGAGTTGCTTTGTCAGTCCCTGCAGGATCATATAAATGGTCTGTTTTAAAATAGTTCATATAGTTGTGCGTTTGTGCAGCTATGTGCACATGAACATGCACTTCTGTTGAAAGCGAGAAAGCAGGCCCAAAATTAGGTTTACTAAGGTTCCATCATAGTTACGTCATTTTATGTATGAATGTTGTTGTTGTTGTTGTTGTTGTTGTTCAAGTCATTTTTCTAAATCAGCTTTCCAAGTCATCTTGGTAACTTTTGGTTTGTGTGAATTTTGGCGCCCCCTGGGGACCAAGCAGTCTTTGCTCACAAATCCTAAATATACTGAAGAAGGGTTATCTTACAAAAAAAAATTAAAAAAAAAAAAATATAAACATTGTTTGGTATGTGACAATCAAATACTGTGTGTCATTTAATGTGAATATTTTATGCAAAGGAATAAACAGGCCTGTTTCATTTGCTGCTTGGCTGACACCTACTCCCTCACACAAGTTTCAAGCATTGAAGGGAAACTCTGCCATAAAATTAAGTTAGGGTTAAACACACTATAACACTGAGTTAGACACCCCCTTGAGAGACAAATGTTGCCGACCGCTTGCTTCTCTTGTTATACCAACTTTCACAGCGGTCTACGTCTCCACACACAAACCTCAACCAAAATACCACTCGATAGTGGAGTTTCGCAGCTCAAGGAAGAACATTTATGATTATTACTTCATGGAAATGCAATTAGACCAAGACACTAAGGCAGAAGAACCACTGCATCTGCAGTGCAAAATGATTATTGTGATGATTCAAGGAAATGATCTGCTGCACTTGGTGATCGACTCGTCAGGGCTCCCCCACAAACAAGTGGCTGCTTGAGGTAAGGAGAGTGGGTCAGTTGTGTTTAGTCTCTTTGCTTAAGAAACCAGGCAGAGTTAAAAAGATGTTTGGTGGCTAGTACTATGGCTGGGACCCTTTGTGTACTGTTGAGGAAGTTAGGTGATGTTCTGAGCATTATTTGTGGCTATAGAGTGGCGTTTTGGTTGAGGTTTGCGTGTGGAGAGGTAGACCGCTGTGTATTGCTATCGTGCGGTCGATACTAAAGTTGGTACTAGAGAAACAAACAGTCGGCATTCACCTCTTGAGGGGTTGTCTAACTCGATGTTGCGGTGTGTTTGATCCTAACTTAATTTTAGGCCAGAATATCCCTTTAAGAATTGCCCCATAAAATCTCTGAATCATGTCTCTGGTGGTCTGGTTTGATTTTGTTTATCAAAAAAAGGGCATCAACATGAATTGAAGTCCATTTCAAAAACTCCTCACAGGAACTTTAAACACATTCTTACTGCAGGATTTTTGCACAATTAGTCTGTTACAGACCTCTGTCTGCAATCCTGAGGACATTAAAGTCTGAAAACTTAACTTTGTTCAAATACTGAAATAACTGTAACAAGCATGATTAAAACTGTTTGTGTGCTTTTTAAAATGAGGTTACTACCATACAGACAGCCTAATGACTATTGATTTCATTACTGACTACACACTGGGAGTAAGAGTTTTAAGACGTGCTAAGATTTGAGTTTGTCAAACTCTTAGTCATGAAGATTTACCAATATTCTACTTTTACTTCCTGTAATAGAATTTAGTGATTGAAGAGGTACAGAGCTGTGGTGGACTTCTCTGGCCAGTAGAGCTGAGTGCCATCAGTGTGCTAAGGGATGGATTTTTGTCCGTGTGTGTATAATGTGACCAAATGGGAGCATATACTCTGGGGTGAAAATATAATTGATCCCAGGGCTCCAAATTTTTTTCTGGTGTGAGAGGAGACATGTCCGCCAATAGAAAAAGAAATTATGTTGGAGCTGAGAGAAGAACAAAACACTGTTAGACCAGCATCAGAGCTGTCCCAGATACACCGACTGAAAGAGTGCAGCTTTTCACTCAGAATTCAGTGATCAACATCAAATTAAACTCAGTAGTATGAAGTCGGAGCATGCAGCAGTGTTTCTGAAGATCATTAGTGACAAAGAGGACTGTCTCAGTGACGTGTCCAACTAAAATTAAAAGAAAAGCTATCAGAAAGGTTTTGTTGTTACAATTTGGAGAGTCGTGTGGAAACTGTCTTTTAATGAGCTTTGGAATAACAGGGGAAATTTCGAAATTGGTGTACTTTTGCTCCATTTTGGACTACATTTTCAGTTGCTTACAGGGTATTTAAGGTTTGCAGGATGCTTTTGGAGAATGAAAGACTTTTTTTTTATCCAGGGTCCTATAGGAGGCATCAACAAATGAATCAGGAGCTTTAATTTCTAATTTAATCTCACTCATTTAAATGACAGAAAGCTTCTTCACTACATGACTTTAAAGGTTTGAGATGTCTGAAGCTTCTCCTGAGTGTTAATTAGAGCTCTGAGCCTCTGATTATATGTATTTAATTAAAAGGGAGAAGTAGTCGTCCTTCACATTCCTAACCTGTGATTCAAAGACATCTCTCTCATTTGGTGATCAAGGCGTAAAGCCTCCTTTCTCTTTAACTACATTTCATCCATCTGCTTTTTCTTTTCAATAAGGACAACTCGTATTTATCCTCGATGAAAACTGCTGTAAGTACAAGGCTGAATTTTTGTCTTACAGGGTAAAAAAGAGAATCTATAATGTCTGTGCAGAAAAGGTTAAATGTGTTCATCAATGTGTTTGCTTGTAGAAAGGTGGGAGGAGAGCAGGATGTCACACCGGGTAAAAGTGTCGACACTCTGTAATTGAAAATAAAAAAGGTGTATTCTGTGCTACATAGGAAAAAACCCGGTAGAGAGTCAGCTGAGATTCTGTGTTCGGTGTTTTTATTCAAGAAGAACTCAGTGTACTGTGGAGCCTGGTGGAGGAGGGGCAGTTGTTTGCCTGAGCTCACAATCAGTGAGACATCACACTCCTGACTGACTCTCCAATTTCCTCATCAGATATGCAAATATACATATTTAACCACATCAAATCAAGCTATAGACCTAGGTTCCCATCACCAGCTGGTTTCATAAATAACAAGTCACATCCTGGTGCAGCTCTTAAAAGATCCCCAGCTTCAATATGATGGCTGATTTTCATTTTTTCCTTCCTGTTGTTCAATTTTTATCTTTCTATTCATGGTTACCCTGTTAAGTCTTGAGTAGTGTCCTATTCAAGAGTCATGTTTTTTTTTTTTTTTTGTTCTTTAAGTGTGGTTATATGAGGTACTTGTGTATCACCCACAGAGGATTGGAAAAGGCTCAGCCATTTAATGAGAAACAGGACAGATAACCAAATCTGAAACTAGGCTATCATCTTAATTTGCACAGTTAAACTCCCACTGAAATATCGCTGTGAGTGTACCCTCTATTCAGTGAATGCAGTGCACCGATCAGCCGTTTGGGTTTATGATGTGCCAGTTGACTTTTTCCCAGTAAACAAATGGAAAATGAATTTTATTTCACTTTGACACAATAGTAAGCGAGGAATACTGAACATTGTGGAGCTGACGCAGTGATGGCTGTGGAGTTTGTTATTTCAGTCCTCCTCCTCTAAAACTAACACTGTGTTCTTAATAAGGGATTCATAGTGTGTGGACCATGGGTTACCATCATAATAAATTAACGTATATATCAAGCTAAAAACTTACTTTAAAAATGCTCTTCTACTTGTCGTCTGATTTACCCTCTAAAAATGGAAGAAAGTAGAACAGTATGGCGACTGCAGCTGTATGTGAGCTGCTGGTATCCCCTAATTCTGAAAGGTCCTGAAATGCTGTTGTTACCAAGACCCACTCATGACAGCAGTAGCTCTCTGAGCTTGGGTAAGCTTACACACCTGGGCCTAAATGTGGGCTCTCTCCAGCTCTTCTGAGTTTCCCCTCTCTCTACGTTGATCCTCAGAGTCTTGTTCTTTTCTGCAACACTACTTTTTACAACAGTCCCAGTGTGACCACAGTAAGCAGCATATCATCACCATGGATGTATATTTGTCCCCTTTGAAGCCGACAGACCCAAACAGCTGATCAAGTGCACTGTCTGGCATGAATGAATGTGAATGTGAACATGAATGTGTTGCATTCAAGATTAGTGCAGAAAACGGCTTCCTAATGGTGCAATAAAGCACCAAAAAAAAAAAAACTCCTGCTTAAGACTTAAACCATTATTAAAGGGATATTCCGGCGTAAAATTAATTTAGGGTCAAACACAGCATAACACCGAGTTAGACACCCCCTCAAGAGATGAATGTTGTCGACCGCTTGCTTCTCTAGTTATACCAACTTTAGTAACGACCCCAGGATAGCAATACACAGCGATCTGAGGAGCCCCGCAATCAACCAAAAAGCCACTCTATAGCCACAAATATTGCTCAGAACAGCACCTAACTTCATCAACAGTACATATAGGGTCCTAGCCACAGTACTAGCCACCAAACATCCTTTTTAACTTTGCCTGAAATCTTTAGCAAAGAGACCAAACACAACTACCTACTCTCTTCCAGCAGCCGCTTGTTTGTAGGGAGACCTCTGATGAGTCCATTGATGACTGCAGCGGGAGGACGCAGCTCAAGGAAGAACATTTATGATCATTTATGGAAATGCAATCAGACCGAGACACTAAGGCAGAGGAACTACTGCGTATGCAGTGCAAAATGATTAATATGATGATTATTGCTTTAAGGAAATTATAAAGTAATGATCATAAATGTTCTTCCTTGAGCTGCATCACCGTGCTGCAGTGATGGACCGGTCTGGTATAACTAGAGAAGCAAGCGGTCTGCAATATTCATCTCTCGACGTGTTGTCTTCTGACTTGGTGTTTCGTTGTGTTTGACCCTAATTTAATTTTACGCCGAAACATCCCTTAAAGGTTAGGGCTGTCAGTTTAAAAAAAAAAAAAATCAATAATGAACATGACATGCAAATGTTCAGATACATTTAAATTTTGTATCCCATCAGTGATGGCCTTTTTCTGGGCGTCTGGCAAGGCGTGTCATAAAAAGGTCAACATACAGGGTTGAATCCTTCCCATTGGGCCACTCGATGGTTCGTCCTCTTCCACCATCTCCGATTTATGTGCGTTAGTCATTATTGTAACTAACCTTACCTCCTTTCACTTTATCAAGCATAAGTTAAGTTCAACATTTTAATATAAATGTCTGAATCTTTATTTGAAACATCTGTAACTTTCCCAAAAGCAGCATTCTGGATTAATGCAGAGATTTGCAAAGAGATTGTACTCCAAAATGCAGGTGTTCAACAATCTGAACATGTGAAAAATGTTATCAGATTATTAAAACTGTTCCTTTAATTGTTGTTTCTTTCATGTGGTTAATGTTATTATCAGTCTGATAGCAGGTGTCTATCTACTTGGATTCTGGAAACATACTGACCTGTTTTGTCGCTCCTCCTTATCCGCATCAGGCTCTCCTCTGCCCAACGGAAAAATGCATCTGCACAGCTCAGTGAAGAGGAAGCTGGGCGAGGAGAAAGGCTACGTGTTCGACAAAAGGCTCAGGTACAACGTGCGACAGAACGAGAGCAACTGTCGATTCCGAGACATCGTGGTCAGGAAGGAGGAAGGCTTCACGCACGTCCTGCTATCCAGCCAAACAACAGACAACAACGCTCTGACGCCAGAGGTGAGGGTGGACATATGCACACAGTTTACATAAACACTTGTGTTCCCCTGGTCTGCAAGGATATCAAAGGACCTCCATTCAATCATGATTCATTGTATCCCAGTTTGAATAGAGCTCTGTCACCAGAGGAATATAAGAAAAAGTTTCCTCATTAAATGCTGCAGAGATGCCCGGGAGCTAAGCACTAACTCTACAACTGCTGCAGGGGAGCTTTCCAGGAGGCAACTTTCAAAAACTGTGGTTTTACTTGACACACAGCAGATTTGACTGTCTCCAACTTCAGCTTCATTAATCTTCCACAGGGCATTGATGGTAAAGACCTCGTATACTCGAGCATAAAAGGTCAGGAAACAGCTCTTTGGGCTCTGTCTTTAACACTGACACAATGTTTCCTTATAACTGCCTCCTGCCAGACAAGGTTTCAACAAGTAGACTAATTAGGGGCACTTATAATCCAGCGTTATGCCATCTGCTGTTATTGTAGCAAAATGTCAGCTGAACCAGAGAGGAAATTATGCAGCGAGTTCAGAAAAGAGCATTACATATTTATACTTCAGGAGAACTGGAAAGCCGAGGAAAACTTCCAAGAAATGTTTCGTCTGAAATATCTGTCATCTCTGCTGGAGATCGCCATGATGAAGCAAATGTCTTCTTTTTTCAAGTTAGTGTCAGATTATGTGGTAATGATCAGTGAACAGCTGATTTGCTGTAACACCGAGCACACAAAACAACAAATAGAGTGGGTCTATTTTTAGGACTAGCTCTTCAGTTTGCTCGATGATACTCCAGCTGAGTCTCTCTGCAGGCGCTTAGGGTGTATAATCTGTGTCAAGCTGTGTTCAGTGGCCTCTCAAGATGTTTTCCCACGATCTACTCAGCAATTTGTCAGTCACCTGCTAATGTGATGCCAATCAAATCCCCCATGTATCATCTTCTGATAGTTTGGACTGTAGGTACTGAAAGGTACTATGTTCGCGGCATGGAGCAAGTTGCAGCAATGAGGCAAAGAAGATTGCGTAGCCAACCCGGGGGATATGCTGTTTGAGCAGAGCGCCATCACAGCGACTATCTGCGACTCTCCCGCCAAATGCTTACTATGCTACTGCGCAAATGGTGGAGTCCGTACAACGCTACTGTGCAATGTTGGTTTCAGGAAGTGGAGAAAATACTCGGAAATACCGAGAGCTTTTTGGCTTCAAATCCGTATGCTGGCAGAAGGCGGAACCAAGTTGTCCATAGTATATACAGTCTATGGTAGAAACAGACGACATCAAGTTACAGTGCTGATAATAATGTTAAAAGTATGTACACTATCTGCAGTTATAGCAAGGTGATGATAATAGACTGATCTTAAAGCCAACAAGAGTCAGCAGGTCTAGCTAGGATAAATATTTCCAGCTATGATGATGATGACAGTGGAAGGAGGATTAGAGATGAACTCAGTACAGCACGGTTGTTATTTAGAAATCAGAAAGAGAAAGTCATGCACTTTATTTTCAAAACTTCCTGAAGCACTGCAGCTCTGGTCATTTCCCTCTGCCCCTCCTTGGTTGACTCATTCATTCTGGCCATGGCCATTCATCAAATTCAAAACTCTGTAATGTACATCAGAGTCAAGCTGAAAAACTGTTGTTTTACTGGCTTGTGTCAATTTCCTTCATCTGTAAAAGCTCCAGCCAACAAATGTTTAATTTAGTCCATGTGATTAAGGTTATTTCGCAGATGTTGCAGACCTCATCTCTCTACTCACAGGCAGCAGGCTGCACACCAACAGAGTAGCTGTGTTTCAGTGTCTCACTTTAGGGAGGAGGAGGAGGAGGAGGAGGAGGAGGAGGCATTATCAGTTAGCCAGTGACAGTCTCATGTCCAGATTTGTTGACAACTCCCAGCACACTGAAGATGCGTTTTAACTGTATGGGTTTTAGTCCTGCACTTAGAAAAAACAGTTATATCTTAGGGAGAGAGGCAGAGGACAGGAAGAGCCACCTAAGGCAGGCACTGGCAGGTAGAAGCCTGGTGTGGCAGCTGCTTTTACCTTGTAACTCAGTCCATCCATCCATCTAAGCTGTAAAGCCTCCAATTGTTTCATTAGATTTTTACTTTACATCCAGATAGCTCATAAAACTTGAGTTAAAAATCAAAGTAATGGGAGAGAGGAGACGGATGAAATTACAGTACACAGAGGGACATACATATTTTATAACCATTCATTTATCAATAGCAAATAAATCTAATGCTTCAAAGGTATACAAACTACAATTCCTGATGAGCATGACTTCATTTAGACTAATATTCACTTGTAATGTTATTCCCTTGTGTCTGTTCTCCCACTTTATGTTAATTGTTGCAAGAAAGCTGAAATAAAGCATGTCGAGTACACCCACACCCTCTTGGGAACAGATACCATCATCTTTGCACTTCCCCAGTAGGAATGATAACGTTACTCCTGACAGATTGAGTCAAGCAGGTTTAAGAGTAACATTAGCCTCATTACAGAGATAGTAGAGGTAAGACTGGCATAAATAATCACAGCAGTAAGAGTCAGGCAGGTCCACAGCAGCAGACTGTCTGCAGCAAACATCCAAGAAACTAACAAGACAGGGAACTCCCTGGAAGATCTATGGTTAGGAAGTGTAATATGACACAAAGACTTAAAGCAAAAGGAATAAAACACACTTTATTAGTCCTCAGAGGAAGTTTTTTTCACTCATGTGTTTATGGGGCTACACAAACACAGGCTGTAATACACAAAAACAGCCCACAAACTTGCGTCAGAGTGAGGGACTCAGTGTTTCAGGAAGTGAACTGGCAACACTCTGGTTCCCAATCCAGATCCCAGTCCAAGGGCCTGATCTACTCAAGGTTTGCGTGTGCAAAAACACGTACAAACTTAATAGTGCGCGCAAAGCTGATCTACTAACCGAGTGCACCAAGGATTGCGTCTGTCAAATGAGCAAATCAGTGAGCACAAGCCATTTAGCGTGTTTGCCTTCAGGAATATGCAGATTGTTTGTAGATCATCAGACCGTGCAAAATTCTGGGTGGAGCAGATGCAAATAGAATCATTTAGCACCCGCAATGTGATTTCTCAAACCCGGAAACCAGTTGCAGTCGCTGTTTTGCGTCTATATTTAGCACGTTTGAAAGGCACGTGCAAACTGACACAGCGTTATGCACAAATGGCTGCAGTCATTGCAGGGAGAAGGAGGCAGAAGAGCAAAAGTGTTTTTCTAGTAAATGACGGTTTTGATAAATAAGTAGGTCAAACACTGAACAGTTGCAAAAAGGTATCTCTTTGTCTTGGTGATTTTAAATGGTTTAAATCTCTTTTTTTATTTCAAGTATATTTTCGTGCATCGGTAAAGCACTTTGAATTGCCTTGTGTATAAATGGTGCTATACAAACAAAGTTCCCTTGCTTGCCTTTTATGCAGTTGCTGGCTTACCAAAAGTGATAGGTGCAACTCCATGGCTTCAAACTTTATTTTTCATCTACAGCCACCCCGCTCTCACAAACTCTCCATGGTGATGCACACACAAAATTCTTGTTTAAAAAGGGCGGTCTCCACCACTTTTGTTCCTGTTATCAATTGCACGCCCACTAATCACACATGCAATTTTTTAGTTTGCACACACAATTTAGCGTTCGCTATTTGGGATCGTAGTAGATCAGGCCCTAAGTCTTTAGCAGCATAATTAGAGCTGGTCTGAGCCTGAGCCTGCCCTACTTATGAGATTTATATTGTAACATGCTGCCACATTGATGGACATATGTATGCACAGATTCTATCAAATACTTCATTCTGAATGTCTGACACTGTATCTTCCACTTTGCAGCATGTGTTTGTGTGAATGCGGCTTGGTTACACCACAGTGCTTTTAATGATCCTAAATGACAGTCTGATGATACCATGTCCATCTGCAGCTCTAGCTGTGATTCACCGGCTCTCTGCTCCGATGCTGCAGCCTCTTGCCTTGTGGTGATCAAGTTGTAGAATTGACCGCCTGCAGGAAAGTACCAGCCCGCGATTGGTTGCTCATTTTCACACTCCAATCAACAACAAGCTGCTCCCCTTAAAGTTCCCCCGGATGCATTCAGCAGCCAGCCTTCAGAGTTCAGTAAACACTCCCCTCAGCTGCACTTTTGAATATCTCTATTGTGAAATTTTGTAGCCTTCAGATTCGTTTTATAAAGGTGTCCTTTATGAGCTACCACATTCCCAGGGCAAGAATACGTTTTTAAACTGCAGCTGAAAGTGAGGTTAGCTGGGGATTATCCACAGATGCTTCAAAAAGATTTAGAAACGATAAAGAAACTTCAAGATATTTATGTATTTTTGGTAAATTTGCTTTCCAAAAAGGATGTTGCCATTAAACAAATAAACCAAATAGAGCACATCACACTTAATTTTAAGTTCATCATTTCAAACCTTCTTGGAAAAAATTAAAACGTAGACTACAAAAACAGTACTTTGAGTTATTGAACATGTTTTATTCTCAAGATTAAATAATGAAAATAGTCTCTAATGTATTTTTACAGCTTCCTCAGAGCACTGTTAATATGAGAGCGAGTTAAACCTTAGATAATGTCATGTATCACAGTCATCCACCTCTGGCTCCTGAATCCAAGCAAACAGGATTTTCCTCCCTTCAGATTGAGGGATTGTGGGTTGTGTCTCAGATCTTCCACAGAGGGTGGTTCTGGCTTTGATACAGCGCCCGTGTGCACGGCAGTCTGCTCTTCACCAACACTGAAGTGGCCCCAACTGTGTGCGCACATGTGTGTGTACTTTCATGTGTGACAGTAAGCCCGTAAGCTGTGGGCTTATCAAACAGCTCTGATAGCTCCTTTTCTGTCTCTGAGTCTTTGAAGCTACAGTACAGGAACAAGAGAGTCTGCCCATGTGCTCGCTGAATGGGTGAATATCTTCTAAAATATCCCTGCACATTTTTCATCCAAACACTCAGAGCCTGATTTAGGTGAGAAAGTCCCTGAGCTGTTAGCTGCTACTCTATCTGTCACCTTCCTTTTCTTTCATACAGGAGCTCTCTGTGTTTGTGCTTTTCACACGAACACCCTCAGTCTTTAACCAACACAGTTCATAAAATCATCCAAAAAGCATTTCATTACAGAGTCAAAAGAGATGTCTGATTTATTTATTTTGAGGCAATGATTTACATTCAGTTTGAAGTAAGAACTAAGATCTTTACGACTCTCAGTAAGCTTCTGTCTATTAGTTCACTGAATGTTAATTTCTAGTTTTCTGTGAGGTTCTGCTATAATCCAGCTCACTTGGATGAAAGAGTGTACTTAAAACCAAGTGTTTTTGGTTAACCAGGCGTTTTAGTCACAAATGCAGTAACTTTTAAAGCTTCTATGAGGGATTTTTAATTTGTGTTGACTTTAGCACCTCCTGCAGACAAACCAGTCTCTCTTATCTCTTTTTTTAGATCCTGTCCTGTGCATGGTCAGTACTGTAGTGTTTTCATCATCCCAAGTGCCTGATCTAAGTGCCCATCAGAGGTTAAGCCTCACATGTAAAGCTTGGCTTCTGTGGCTTCATTTCCACACATCCCCACTCTCTCTGCCCATTTCCTGCCCTAAAGGCAAAATGCCCCAAAAAATTATTTTAAAAAAATCATCATCCTGCTGCTTTAACTGTTAAATGTATAACTAACTATTGATTTCGGTCTTGGAAAATGGAAATGAAACTGCTTCAGCAGCAAACTTTTAGCTGACACCCACCTGGTTGCTGTGGTAACAGACATTATAACTTACTGTGTAGTAAGTAGGGATGATACATAATAGTATTGCGATATTTTGTCTGGTGATATATCATATCATCTCATTTACCAAGTATTGATTTCTCAAATTAATTGTTAATATGAAGTCAAATCTATGATAATGGAAAAATCAAATCAACTGTTTGTCCAGTGAGGTTGGCAGAGGTGACATCATAGAGCAGGAGAAAGTTAGTGCAACAAATATATGTAAGGTTTGCAAGGTGTGCTACATGAAAATAAAATACAGCGTAAATAAGAAAAACATAAAGGAAAGACAAATGCTAAATTAACCAAACAGTTGAAAAAAATGTACAAATCACAATTCATTGTATCATTACAAAATGTAAAAAATCGCAATCATATCATAGCGTAACCAAAGTATTGTGATAAAATCGTATTTCCGCCACTCGTGATTCCCACCCCTAGTAGTAAGTAGCCAGTCATGTCATTGATGGTTTATTATGTTACGTATTGCTTCTGAAGGTCATACAAAATCATCAGCATTAATTTTTATCTGTAGCATGCGCTGCTAAAAATGTGTCTTCAAGAGCTTTGAGTACCACTAAAGAGCGATTTTAAACTACAACTGAAAACATTTCTTGGGTCCTTACTTAAATCAGTAAATAAAAATAACCACAAGGAGAATATTAAGGTGAAGACTACTAACCCAACTGAAAGAAAGAAAAGAAAAATGGAACATGAACTAATAGCAACCCTCTGTGGAAATGAAATGAGGTCAATTTAGAAATATAATAAATGGCAGTTCCTTGTGTGTCCACTTGGGGATTGCTCTAAAGATCAGGGATACCACATTAGAGCTCATGCTAAACTGCCCATTTTAACTAACAGTGAAAGAAACGTGTTAACAGTGTGGTACAAAAAGTTTGGTGTTCTTACAGTGTTTCTTTCTTCATAACAACTTTAAAGATGACATTATTTTTCTTAAGTCAGTTAGAGTCAGCATTTCCTTTCGGGTGTCTACCATCTTTGGGCTTCATTATACTTCACCAATGGGTGACATGACAGAAACAACATCAATTCTAATTGCAGTCCATCAAATAAAAGTTTTCTTCCTTGCCTTTTTCAAGCCAATTCTCTAAGCCTGCTGCATCTAACAAAGAAATAATAAGTCCTGTGCTGTTTGTCTCATCAAAACTAACCCTTTTCAAGTTCTGGGTAGTTCACAAGTGCCTCGGCGTATTTTACAGAGAGCAGGAAAGAGAAGTTACGAGCTCTGCTTAATAACTACACTGTTCAAAAGTCAGCGCAGATCAATACCAGAGGCACAGCTGAACTCAAACTTGCCTGACCGTGGAGCTGGCCCTCTTGAAGGCGTCAGTCTCTGATTGCATCTTTGTGAATGGTGTTCTTGATTCAGCGCTACAACAATCACAATCATTGATCCAGCAGCCAGTGGTGGGTGGGGCATTTGACCCGGAGGGACGCACACTCACTTTCACACACTAAACTGAAAAAGTGTAGACATGAGTTGAGTGTTGAGTTGTTACAAGGCCTATTTCTTCGAACTTTCCTTCAATAATACATTGATTAAGAAGCAAAAAAAAAAGAGTCCCCAAATAGACCGTTCTTGCTCTCGGCATTGGATTTGTAATGTCAGAAAAAGTGCAGGTTTTACTAGAAACATGAACGGAATGTTTATCAAGCATCTGAACAAACCATGACAATGTGACAGTCTGCCAGCATTCACTAAAATACCCCAATACCTGAACAGCTTAATAAACTTCTGCAATCACAAATGTAAAATTCACACCTGTGACAGAAATACTAAATGCAGGAGGGTCAATGGTTTAGATCAGCTGCTTTAACTCAGAGAGGGAAAGTGCTCCATCCACGAAGGCAAAGTCTTCTACACATTACTAGTTTGACAGCCTAGAACTGTTAGGTTCATGTCATAACCAAAAGTCCCATCTCTCTTCAATTGTCCTATTTGATAGAAACAAAGGACAAAAATAACGAACAAAAAAAAAAACTGTCTTCTATGAGTAAATACATCTCCTTTCTGTTGAAGGCAGCTAAATGTGTAGCACTAATGTCCAAAACCAAAGTCCCCCTAGAGGACAATAAAGTGCATCCTCTTGTCTACTTCATATCTTATAATGTCCTGAAATATCTTGTCATATTGTATCCCACTGTATCGTATCCCACCCCATCATATCGTTATATCATATCATGGCATCACTTCCAGTTGTATCATATTGTACTGCGGAATTAAAAACAAATAGGTATCAGTATCCCACTGTAATGTGATGAGTTTAATACTTAAACAATATTTTTTTTACATTTTAAGGCAGTATGTTTGTTGGTAGAATAATAAACTTTTCATGGTATAATGTGGCAGGAACAGAAAAAGAGTGAATTTCCCAAAACAAACAAGACAAGGTAGGGTAATCAACTAAAGACATGTCAAAGAAATGAGACCAAACTACATTGATGTTATGTTTTAAGAAGAAATATTGTGAAGCTTGTCCCTCTTTCCTCAGTTTGACTGAATACATGGTTTTATTTTCAAGTCTTCCATAAGTATCTTCCCAGTATTTTATGGCCACAATAACCGTGAGATGAAAATCTGATATCCTGACAGCCCTAGGTATACCAGTAAACTTATCCTATTATAGCATGATACTGTTCCTTAATTTTATATTCTGGAGTGGCAACAATTTGCCTCCATTGGACTGATTTTAACATCAATTTTGTGAGTTCCTGATAAAGACATCCTGATCCAGTCCCTTCTAGAATAGTCTGTTGTGTGCAGAGCGATGAATGAGTGAGGGAAGGAGGGCTATGGGATGTAGCCCCTGAAAAATAAATGTTTTTTCAGCTTTCGGAAATCAAAACATCCCCTCCAGGAAAATGCAAAATAAACAAAAATAAATAAATGATGTCTCGCTCATACATCAAAAGGTATCTGAAGAGCAGAGTGAGTGAGAACAGCCTGTCAGACCTGCGCACATCTGAAAAGGTACCAAAACATATGATTGATTGACTTCTTCGCAGCCCTACAGGCGGTGTTTTCATTTCCACTGAGCTGATGCTTGCTGTTGCCGGTCTCTTTGTTGTGGAAACCACCTGTGTTTGTCTGCAAATGTCCCGGAGGCCTCTGCTCACTGCACATGAATGTCACTTTGACTGCTCTCCCCTTCCTCCTCCATGTCTCCCAGACTGGAACCAGCATCTGCCCGTCTCTGCCTCCTTTCTCAGCAGGTCTTTAATTCAACTCGCTAGAATAACGTCATTGTCGGAGACTTACACGCACTCCCACACACAGCAGCCAGTAAAAACAGGGGACAGATTATGTGCTTGGTGAGACGTGGAGAATTAAGTTCCCTTTGAGGTTGAATGGTTAATATGGGTCAAGGGTGATAATCTGATTAAAAAGCAGCATTAAAGTGGGCATATAGACAGCAGACTCTGATGTGGGTGATGGGTTTTTATGTGACTTCCTATCAGATTGGAGACCTAAAGAGTTTAAGGCTGTCCTTGGACTGGTTTTAGCGATTCCTTTAATTATCAAACAAGGCTTAAAAAAGAAACATCTTTAGTTTACCTAAAAGTTCGAACACTAAGGATTTGTTATTACTCCTGTCGACAACTACTGTGTGGCTGTAGCTATCATCTCAGAGTAAAGCTAGTTGCCGCTGGAAGGGAGACTGCAGGGGCAACCCCCTCAGCATCACGTCATGTTATTATCTCATCTGTATACAAACAGTTTCAACAGTTTCTCCACCATCTACAAAAGTTCAGGATAAACAAAATAAGACATAAGATGGGAAAACTTCTTAAACAGAGCTGTCTCTTTGTGCCATAGTGGTCTTTGTTTTAGGTTGTGTTAGTATTTTTCTTATCTGGTTCTGTTTTCAATGACAGGTAGCTTCACTTTAAAGCTCCTGTGAGGAGTTTTTTTACGCTCATGGAATAGATTGAACTTCATACTTATGACTTGACCTGACATTCGATAGCAAGCAAGACCACAGGTGGCAAGATTGACCATTTTTAAATATTTATTATTGATCCCTGAAACTGGTGCGAGAGAGTAGGTGTCAGCCAAACAGCTGAAGAAAAGCCTTGTTTTTTTATGTTTAATTTATTTTTTTTTGGTCTAAAATGTAGGGAACAGAAGGAGAGACTGCTTTATCCACAGGGGGCGCCAAAACTGACGCAAACTAAAAGTTCCTCACAGCAGCTTTAAACAAGACCCCCAGCTGAATTTACATGATTTTAGTGTCTTAGTGGATTATATTCCTAAAATCAAAGCAGTTGAAAAGACTGAGAGACCATTTCAGTACTTCTGTAGCACCAAGGCTAAAAACATTATTTAAAATCTATTATGTAGTTTTAGAAACTGATAAGAGCACCTGAAAGAGGTAGATACATAGAGAGACAGCAGATAGTCAACTGGATCCTTAAAATCTGGGACTCCTCAACAGATTTGAGCTGTTGCTAAATCACACTAGAAAAAAGCAGTATTGTGTTTGAACTTTAACAAAGGCTGTCAGTATTTTATTTATAGAAATTAGCACTTTGTATTCTCTGTGTTTGTCATCTTTCATGCCTACTTGTAAAAAACAATAACTCCGCATGTCAAGCTGTCCTCGTGTGTTAGATGTGTGAATAAAGTCTCCTCTTCTTTTCTTTTTCAGATCATGAAGGAGGTGTGTCGAGCTCTGGGTAATGCAGCTGCTGATGACAGCAAATTGCTGTTGCTGAGCTCTGTTGGAACAGTTTTCTGCAGCGGCCTAGAGCCGTCGTACCTGATTGGGCGTCTGTCCACTGACCGCAGGAAAGAGAGCAGCCGTATCGCAGATGCTGTTCGGTAATGAAAAATCTGTCTGCTTTAAACTGCGGTTCTCTCATCACTTGCCCCTCAGAGTTGAATGAGATGGGACTAATTGTTCTGTGACCCCTTCAGGGACTTTGTGTTGGCATTCATCCACTTCAAGAAACCCATTGTGGTGGCCATAAACGGGCCTGCTCTGGGCTTAGGGGCCTCCATCCTGCCGCTGTGTGACGTGGTGTGGGCCAGTGAGAGGGCCTGGTTCCAGACTCCATGTGCAGCCCTCCACCTCACACCCTCTGGATGCTCCTCTTACACCTTCCCTCAGATCCTGGGTGTAGCTCTGGTGAGTCCCAAATATCCCTACAGATATCACAGATAGCATGACACATGAAGAAAACTTTTTAATTTTATCCTTTTTTGTCCCTGATGGCAGGCCAATGAGATGTTGTTCTGTGGAAGGAAACTCACAGCACAGGAAGCATGCAGTCGAGGTCTGGTGTCACAGGTCTTCTGGCCGACCACATTTAACCAAGAGGTGATGCTGCGTGTGAAGGAAATGGCATCGTGCAATGCAATGGTGGGTTCTCAAGCATGCAGCATACAGGCAAAGATTTTTTTGAAGCAGTAAAATGTTTGGGGAAAAAAACTCATAAAACAGGATAAAATCTAGTAATTAACAGAGAAAATTGAGGAGTCTGTCAGGGGCGTCACAGGGGCATTTTGGGCTCTGTGAAGATATAGATGTTTTGGCCCCATCATCACAGCCTTATTCAATTTATTAAAGTCAAGTCTCTATTATGCAAAGTGAGTTGTGGCTTTAAAGAACTATAACTTTGTTTAAACTCCTTAAAATCAGTAAGTTATAAGTTATCACAGAGGTCTATGTAATTTTTCACAGCTAGATTTGTGCAGCTTACCGTTTATGCCTTCTAGTGCCGTTCTGGTTTTGTCAGATCTTTCTTCATCCTCTTCATCATTCTCACTCTTCTATGAAAGATCTTTTTTTTCTGCTCTCCTCATTTCCCTTATCCTCTATTCGCTCAAAAGGCTGAACCGTCCACAAGCATGAAGCAAACAGCTTAATATATTCTACTACTTTAAACGATCTAACTCGGATTCATAAATATGACTTGAATGTGGAAATCATGAATCCACTGATAACACATATGTAATGCAAGCTGACTGTCTGACTGTATGAAATCTAAATTGCTAGCGTACGCTTAAATGATTCCTAAACTCTATGAGTTACGTTTACCTTTCTTCTAAAAGACACTTGTCAAAAGCTTTTATCCCTCTGCTTTCTTTCTCCTTTTTTTCATTTTTGAACCCCTGATTTTAATTTCTCTCGAGCGACTTATCAGACAGTTTTAGTTTTAGGATACTATGATAGATACGACTTTGAGAGAAAAAAACTGAGAGGGATATATGTATGTATTTCTGGCTCATCAAAGGCCCACCTAAAATGTTGACAGGCATTTTAAAATAATCTCAGGATACCTTATTAATAAAGCATACTTTTGCTTTCCATGTTTTGGATATCTCAGGGTGTGCTGGCCATGCTTTGTTTGGCAAACAGCTTTAGGAAGATGATTTTATAAACATGCATATCTGACAAAAAATATGTCATCCTTATTGGAGGTTGTTTTCAGATTTATAAATTTGTTTGTGTTAAATACGTGATTCTGATTCGTTGATCATAGCATTATTGAGGTCTGCTATTTCTTAAAAGCCGACTGTCACTATGAAAACCAGGCTGTTTCTTGGGATGCAGCTCAAATCACAGAATCTGTAGGACCAGCTGTAATCATTTCAGGCTGCCAAAAAGAAGTCTGGTCTCCAGAAGTCTGGAAAACAGCTGATAACAACCTGCTCTCTCACATTATTCATCTCACACGTCTGTAATCTTTCCTTTTTACTTGTCAACCACTTGACTGTATTAAGTTGAACACTGTGGTATTGCAATTTCGACATCAAAATTTGGGATTTTACTAATGAAACGTTTCACTTGAGGTTTTTCAGTGTAACAGAGCCGTAAAATGAGTGTCATCTTTTTTTAAAGTCATGTTTATATTCCGTAAATTTACACATATAATACTAACTGATGAGTCTTTGCTATCTGTGTGTGTCTTGAAGGTTCTAGAGGAGTCCAAATGCCTGGTGAGAAGTATTGTCATGTCAGTCCTGGAGGACGTCAATGAGAAAGAGTGTCAGATGTTGAAGCAGCTGTGGTGCTCAACCAAAGGACTGGAGGCGCTTTTCAGCTACCTGCATAACAAGTCATATGAGAAGTAATCGTCATAAAGAGAGAATGAGGTTCACAGGTTATCCACAGAGTGACGTCCAGGAGGAATGCACTGCAACCTTAGACTGAATCCCAACTGAACAAGAAAAAAATAGGAGGTGCATTCATGGTCTTAATATCCATCCATCAGCAGAGAAGAGGGGATTCTCTGGACTACTGTGAGCCGACATGTCTACCAACAAATCCCTTGAAATCGTCTTTGGTAGAGTTTTTGTTTGACCTGTTACTGCCAGGTTGTTTATTCTCTAGAGGACAAAGAGCAGAGGGCCAAATGTGGATTCTTCAGTGATCACTGAATGTTTTTCAAGGAGGTACAGAGTGTTTCTGTACGTATATGAGATATTAACGCGTCTATGAAACCATCCGGATGTATGAAATCAATGTATGTCTAATAGCACATGATAAATTGACAATAATATATATTGATATATTTATTTCAATAGTGTATAGAAGAGGTTCTTACTGTATATAAGATGAATTTTCAGGACTGTCTGCGGTTGCTTATGGTTTGAAGTTGAAGTGTAAACCAAAGTTTGCATGAGGACACTGTTTCCTTTCTCCGTACATGCACATTCCCTCCTCTTTCCAAAAAACCCTCACACATGCTCGAGTGATTAAATAGTTACCAGAAAAATGCACTGAAAGTCTGGATAATTTAAAGAAAGTTTGATAAATCCACCTCCTGTGAAGACTTTATGACACGGAGTAGACAGCCTGTTGTTCAGTGACCTTGCCATCATGATTCTAATCACCATAAATTTGTTTCTGGTCCATAAAATTAAGATAAATGTTCTTGTAGGGTACTAATAAGACCGTCTGGTGCATAAGTAAATTAAATATCATCCACATGCTGTCAACATCCATCTGTTTTAATTTTTCATTCACATGCAGCAACAAGTTCAGCCCGTATTTATACCGTTTCTCTCTGAGTGAAGATTCCTCTTTGCAGGGAAACTGGACTGAATGCACTTACTTTGTTTCTCTATGAAGACAAACGTTCGATGGAAAACACTGGAGGTTTAATGCACATGCTAGCACTAAATATAAAAAAAAATATGTGTCAGTTTTGAATCAAATGGCATTTTGGCTCAGATACAGAATGTGAGTGCAGAGGATTGACTGAAGTGGCAGCACAGATCACATGAAAGGATTAGTGATGGATTTTTATCCAATTTACTTTGAGCTACATATGGTAGCCTTACATGCTGTGCTGTGTGGGTTTAAATGTGAAAAAAAAATGGCTTCCAGTTATAAGTGCAGATAGTCATTGTGTGAAATGAGTGATTCTTTTCTTGATTTTTTTTTCCAGTCTTGTTGATAGTGACTACAAAAACTGTAAGTGATCTATATTGTGGAAATGCAACAGTCGTGTAGCTGGAGTCAACTTCGTCTTTAACTGCATGTGATGATTCGAGATCTGAAGACATATTTTTATTGCAATGTGTAGATTATATTCAGGCATCTATTTTGGTCTACCAAAAACACGTAGGTCTGTGAAGAGTCTTTCTTAAGAAGATATTTGTCCATTTTTGCAGTCGCACATAATAATACACGGGCAAAACAGACTGGTTTGTGTAAGAGCTTGCATGTAAATAATATATTGTACATATAAATGTGTCGCCTGTCTGAATACCTTGTATTGCGGGGTATGTTTTGTACCTACATTGTAAGTATTGTTAGAAATTGTGCAGTTTATTTTTGTATTTATTTGAGGTAACTGTTTGGATGTGCAGTGCCATGTGGGTTTCTTTGCTCCAGAAGCAACTGACTCTCATAATCAGATATTTAACTTATCCCATGACACCTTTGATAATAAAGGAGCATAACTAATTTATAATTTAAATACCAAAATGTACACACTTTTTCACTTGAATATTTAATTTCCAGTTGACATTTTCAGATCAAGATTTCGTTAATATTGTAAATGATCAAAGCATGCCGGAGAAGTTGAATGGTGTGTTTTACTGAGCTCTACTAGTATGAAGTGATGATCAATGAAATACCATTTACTTGATTTCACAACTTTCCTCTTCATGCTCTGTGCGGTTGTTCAGTGATTTAAGTGATCCGTTTTGTTATTGGTCGTGGCAGTTTGATTGCTGATGATAATGAATGGTGTGATTAAGCTTGTTCAGCTTAAATTAACAAAGACAACAGCAGCGTTTGACTCGTGCTGATGAAAGATAATCCATGATTGCATCGCACCTGAATTTTTTTACTTTATCTTTGAGGAAAAAGTTCCTTTTGTTCACAGCCCACACCTGAGGGGGGTAAAGTGAATTTCCACAGTTACTTTCTGGCAGAGTTAGGAACTACCTGTGTAATAATATACTGTACTGCATCACTGAATGGAGATGCCTCATCAGACAGATCTGTGTATTTACTCATTCATCTTTTGGATTTGTAAAAATAGTTTTCATCCTCTTAAGAGTGTCTCTCCAGATTGAAGTTTCTGTACTTCCAAAGAAATATGTCAGACCTATCTTTTTTGACATTTGATCAATTCTCACATTTTTAAGTGTTATCATGGTAAAAAAAAGAAAAAAAAATCTTGAATATCAAATAGACTCTGTCCATTATTTATGACAACTGATTGTTTCTGACGGGTGTCACGGTATCCCAGACTGTCCCCTGGATGTGTACTTTTTCGTTCATGCGTTTTGTCCTCTACATTGTCTCCTCGCTCACCTCAGGGTGCCTTACAGTTTCAATATCTGTCAGAAATGGATCCATACGTTGTGATGGGTAAAGTAAGCTGCTTCAAATAAACAAACAGTACTTCCACCAATTGTTTTGTGGTGTATGTTTCTTGCACACTTACTAAATTTTGTTTATAGTGTTGTATTAATTACAGGTTAGGTAATCTTATTTTACTTTACACAGCTTTGATTTGTTACCATCTGTTATAAAAAACATTCACTGGGATCTCTCTGAACCCATGAATGATATTTGAATGGCGCTTGTGTAGGTTCAGTCAGTCTCTCATACTTTCAGCTTTTATCTTATGCTTCAATATTATAGGAGGCTTTTTGGATTTAGAAGAACTCAACTTGAAACCACAACCCCAATTCCAAAAAGTTAGGACACTGTGTAAAATGTCGATACCAGCAGAATTTTATGGTTTCAAATCATTCAAAGTTGTTTCCTTTTTATGAAAAAAAAACATGTCCATCATAAATGTGAGTCAGGACAACAAACACTGAAGAAGTTGTATAATGTCTTAAGAAAAACACCTGGAGGAGCACCTCCCTACGAACAAGGTTCATTTGCAACAGGTTAGTATCATATACCGGCTGAGTCTCTCAAAAGGAAACCGCTCTGTCTAAGGCTACATGAGGTCAGTGATTTCAGATTAATGTTCCTCAGATTATGATTGCAAACATTCAGTGGATTTCATCATCCACAGCACACAATACTATTAAAAGAGAATCTCTGATAAAAGAGAGACAAGGCCCAAAACCAATACAGGATAGCTCTGATCTTCAGGTTCTGCTTTTAAAGTATGGCTCTGTAGTGGAAATCGCTGCATGGGCTCAAAATCACTTCCCAAAACATGATCTGTTTGTTAAAGAAAAACTATGCCATTCAAAAAGGAAACCATATGAAACACTGTTCTTGAAACGCCAACAGCTTCTTTGAGTCAGAGTTCATTTACAAGATACAGAGAAGTGGAAAAAAGTCTTGACAAATACAAATTTGACATTCTTTTAGGAATTTATGGACACTGCATCGTCTCATCTGAAGAGAAGCACCTGGCTTGTTATCAGCGTTCAGTTCATAGCCGGTGTCTGTGATGGCATGAAGAGGCGCCAATTCACATGGCAGGGGGGTAACTTACACATCTGAGAAGGCTCCATTGGTGCTAAACACTATATTCCCGTTCTGGAGTAACATATGCTGCCATCCAGACAATGACTTTTCATCAAAGACCTTCATATTTCAACAAGAAAATGATAAATCATTTTCTGCAACAGCCTGGCTCTGTAGTAGAAGAGTCCAGGGGCTATACTGGTCTGCTTTCAATGATAAGAAAAGAAAACTGAACTGTTGATCAGGTGAAATCCTACATCTGGCAAGTCTAAGACATTTTAATATTCAAATACCTGAATCTGGTCTCCTTGGTCCAAAACATTTGTACAACAATAAAACTTCAACATTTGACATTTCAGTGAACAACTTTAAATTAAATTGACTGAGCAATAGACGGCTATTAGACATCTAGCTTTTTTTAAACCTTATTTCAATCATCTAGATTCTATTAGTTTCTATTAGTTTCAATCATCTAGATTCTATTAGTTTTGTGCAACGTCTAAATTATAGACGTTGCACTTTTCCCATTATTCGAAAACTATTTATTTCACTATATAATTGATCTCCAAGTACTTAACCAAAATAATTATGATAGCCATTGAGCAATATACAGTGTAGTATAGATATAGCCCAGGTTTAGACTTGGTCTAAACTTGGTCTAAATTTAGATGTCTAAAAAAAACTTTCATTTTTAGACGTGTGGCAGCCTGATTTTAGACCAGTCATCTAGGCTAGATTTAGACGTCTATTAGACCTCTTTTAGACCAAAAAATGCACAAGTGATGTTGACTTCAAGTTTGATTTTTACACAAAGAGATCTTTGGTATTTCCTGTATTTGATGTGAGAATGTAACAGTGACATTCACTGATGTAACCAGCCAAACCATCATGGGATAAGGTAAAGAACCCTTCATGGTGAAGAGAAACAGAGACTGCCTCTGGGCCCACATTTCATTGTATTCATGCAACAAATAGAGGCTCAGGTGTCAAATTCTGACCCTATTGTGAACTTTCAGTCACATGAACAATAGGTCACTGACTTCACCAGGTGTCAGCCAATGAAAGATCCAGAAGGTCAACCAGAGCCCACTGTTAAACAAAGAGAAGAGGTTACGTAACCATGATTTAACATGTCAAAGAAGCGTTCTACCCAGGGCAACATGGTGATATCTTTACCAGCTTCGCCTGCTGCATTTAGACCATGAATATCTAAATTATTAACAATGGGCCTCACTGTCTTTATAGTGTGAGAGGGACTTATGTAGGTTTTTATAAAAGGGGAGATGGTTGAATCTATTTCAATGCTTAAACCAAGTATAGAACTTATGTGGTTGTCATTTATAGAGACACAAGCTTCATGTCTATAAATTGCTGTAAGTCTATAAATTTAAGGCTGAATATATTATCTAGTGATCAACCCACTGTTTAAGCAATCCTCAATGAAGTCTATGCAACATCTCCTGTTGCTCACAGTGGACAAGTGTACAGGTCCAACTCAAAAACTTAAATTGTTCCATAAAAGTTCAGTTTTTCTCATAATTCATATAAAAGTGAAACTTTCATATATTTCAGATTCAAAGTTAAATACTTCAGAGTATTTTGTTTGAATCTTGATTATTGTGACTCACAGCTCACGGGAATCAAAAATCCGCTTTCTCAAAACATTAAAATATCACAAAACACCAATCCAAGCAGGGTTTAAAATACTGAGATGTCGACCTTCTGGAAAACGATGGGCTCTCTTTGCATGAATTACTGTATCTATGAAGTGTGGTTTGGAAACATCAGTCTGTGACTCTGCAGAAGTCCAGGTTGTTTTTAAAGCTCCTTCAGCTCATCTGTATTGTTGCTCTGGTGTCTCTCATCTTTCTCTTGACGATACCCCTGAGAGTCTCTATGAGGTTCAGGTCAGGTGACTTGGCTGCCCAATTGAGAGCGGGAATAATATTGTCAGCAAACCAGTTTCTGGTAGTTTTGGCACTGTGGACAGGAGCCAGGGGAATCTGGATCTCCATGAAGCTTCTCAGCAGATGGAGACATTAAGTGCTCTAAAATCTCCAGGTAGACTTTTGGCTGCCTTGACTCTGGACTTGATAAAACACAGTAGACCAACACCAGTGGATGACATGGCACCCTGAATCTTAACAGACTGTAGAAACTTCACAGTAGACTTCAAGCACCTTGGATTCTGGGCCTCTCTGATCTTCCATCCGACTCTTGGATCATGATTTCCAAATGTGATGCAAACTTGACTTTCATCTGAAAACAGGATTTCTTTTTCTTCTTTGCCCAGGTGAGGACCTGATGACTTGGTTTCTTTAAATATTTCACTTTGCGTGTGAGGAATCTAGAATATGTGGAGATTCACTTTTTGAATCAAGTTGTGAAAAAAAAAACACTAACTTTTTGAGCAGCACCTGTTTTCACTTTGGATAGCAGGCAGTCATGATTTTCTCCACTCTGAAAATCTATAAAGGAATCTTTCATGGATTTTGAATATTGTATTTTTATTTTTTTTAAACTTTCTGGAAGTTTTCTTTCCTACACAAAACAAAGAGCCGATTCTTTCATCAGCACATGATATCACTTTATTTGAAAGAACTCATTGAATCAATATGATTCTCCATTCATACAGAAAAACTCAATCCAGAATAAGTTACTCACACTAAGAGTATCCTGACGTCCAGCCAGGCTATTTTTTTTACATGCCTTTCTGATGCATCTCTGAAATGGACCCTCTTTGCCTGAACCATGAATAATTCAGGTACCAGAATATTCCTGAGCAGTCCTGCTGAATAAAGTAATGGTTTGATGAAAGGGTTCAGCCATCAGCTGCACTTACCTCTCTGATAGAGCTGTAACGTTCAACTAACAGAGAGGAAATGAGAGACTAACAGTGAGCTTTAATCCACCCTACTCCTTGGTTTTCATGTTGGGCTAAAATGTTCTAATAACACTGCAAGTTTCAGCAGATTTTATAACGTGTTTGGGGGGGATTTAAACCAAAGTACATTTAGTAACAGTGCGAGTATGCTGCACATCATGACAGAGTCAGTGCTGGAGTAGGATCCCAACACTCATCATATACTCACGCTCCTGTTAAATAAAACCTGCAGTCTTGATGGCAATTAAATATATAAATAACGGGGCCTTACTTTTGTTGTTAAATGTTCACATTCACATGATACTTAGACCTGTTGATGCTAATATAACCCCCACAGTTTTGATCTTACAAGATAGAGGTAACAACTCTTCTTCTGTCTTCATAATAAAACCACATGTTAAATACAGAGATGCTTCTTTCAAAGTCGCACCATCTCTATATTTGAACAGGAGTGCCTGTGGCGACATGATTATTGAATGTCCTTCAGAGTTGCTCCTTAGGTCCTTCTTTCAGACGTCTTTTCATCTCCCGTGCGTGTTGTTTACTGCGCTCTCGCTTTTCCAGTCTCTGTTGGGACAAAGAAGACGAAGGTCAAGATAGAGAAAAAAAAACTTCATCTATTAGTGGTTAAAGTATTTCGTCTCATGTCTTATCAAGTTAATTAACAAAAACTAGTGTTGTACATTAAATAACTGACATACCTCTTTCTTCAGGCACTCACGCATAACCCGGTCTAAATCATTGCAGGTACCGAAGAACTTCAGGAAACTGTGCTGCAGATGATACAACAGACAGTTTGAGGATTTTGCTCTCTGTGTGTTAAGACTCATTTGATGAAAAAAATTCATAAAGTGACTTACTTCAGTGTGGCACTGCCTCAGCTGAGATATCAGGACATTACACTCATCAGTGTGCAGGTGTGGGGACAGGTCAGGGTGCATGCTGAGTTAAGGGCTTACTGTGCCACAGCAGCAAGACTGAAAAGCCACAAACAAAAGGAGCACAGACTGAAGAGCACTGAGTTTAAACCTGCTGCTAAAAATCACCGTAAAGATGGTATCATGTTGCATTAGGACACCAACGGCACCAAATGTGCACAATAATTTGTGACGAAAATCATATTTCAAGATCAAAGCCACAAATGCTATTTTTCTTCCTCATTGATAGTTATATTAAAAGTATTGATTATATCTTTATCCTTACACAAACTCTAACAAAACGTCATATTTTCCAAGTGCAAAGATAGTTTACAGAAATATAAAGCATCAAAGTCTTCATAGAGACAGTCGAAGTTGTCTGATTACTGATTTAAGAAATGTATAAACTTTGACACAAACTTATCATTTATACTCCTGGTAACCACTTTTAAATCAACCAACTAGTCATATCATTTAAAGGGATATTTCAGTGTAAAATTCAGTTAGTGCTCATGGAAATGCAATCAGACCGAGACGCTAAGGCAGAAGAACTACCGCGTCTGCAGTGCAAAATGATCAATATGATGATTACTACTTCAAGAAAATGATAAAGTAACGATCATAAATGTTCCTCCTTGAGCTGTGCACCCCACAGCCGTCCGTAATGGATTGGCTCAAAGTCTCGCTACAAACATGCGGCTGCTGAAGGAGAGTAGGTGAGTTGTGTTTGGTCTCTTTGCTAAAGAAATCAGGCAAAGCTAAAAAGATGGACTCACCCGGAGGTCTCTATACAAACATGCTGCAGCTGGAAGAGAGTGGGTGAATCTCTTAGCTCAAGAAATTAGGCAAAGTTAAAAAGATGTTTGGTGACTAGTACTATGGCTGGGACCCTATATGTACTCTTGATGAAGTTAGGTGCTGTTCTGAGCATTATTTGTGGCTATAGGGCGGCTTTTTGGGTGAGCGGTTGGCAACATTCATCTCTCGACTGTGTGTTTGACCCTAACTTAATTTTACACTGGAATACCTCTTTAAGCAGTACTTTCATAGACTTTATACTTAAGAGGTTCCTGTTTATGATAAATTTATAGAACGGTTCGTTCATAGAGGCCAGAAAGGTAAAACTTGTTTTGTACCTGACAAGTTTCAGCCAAAACATTTTTTTAACCTCTTTGGCCTTTATAGACAAACAGTTTTATAAATTTCATAGACTCTGTTGACTTTGAAAAGCATGAAGTGAGCCATGGACATGTCCTCTGAAGGATACTAAGGCCTCCCCATCCCTCTCCCTCCTGAGCTGTCATAGTGGTGCTGGGCTTTGTGGACACTTACCTGCAGACACAGAAAGGCAGAGGAAGAGGGACAATTACCAAACACCATCTTGGTTTAGAAAGATTTTTGCAAGTCCACTCAACAGTCTGAACCAATGTAAACAAAAGTGGATACACTATAAAGCTGAGTCGGGGTATAAGACCACTTGCATAGACACCAGCATGGAGCTGAGTTACCTAAGGTTGTGATAACAAGGCTAGGCTAAGCTGGCACATGGGGTTCATAATACTAACTCACTAAAAGTAATTGCCTTGCACAGTGAACTGCCAACTGTAGTTAATAAAACTGTGATTTTCTTACCAGTGGAGAGGATGTGACATATGCAGTCCTCCTGCAAACCTCCGTGAAATGTCAGCTAACCGCTAATCACGCTTCTGCTAGCGATAGCTGTTAGTTATACAGTTATAAACTCTTAAAATCGCTATAGGAGTACTGAACGTTTACTCTTTCAGTCCGCGGATGACTACACTGTTCCTGAAAATTATGATAAATACAATAGTCATGAGCTGACAAACATTTAACCTACAAAAACAGAGAGAGCTGTAGGACAAACTGATAAACAGTCGAAGCCTTTCACAACTGTTTGACGACAGCAAATTGACTGACGCTGGCGCATAGCAAATCGACGCTCTGGTTGTTCACAAGTCAACCAATGGTATGCGTTTGTCTGCTAAGAGGCGGGATGTAGTTAGCGGAAGTTTACAAATGAAACAAGAGAATTTGCTGTAATGCACTTCCGGTTTTGTTTAATTCGACAAGGTGATTTCTATACATTTAAGGATTTTTGTTACTTGTGCTGACAAAAGAATGCACAGTGTATAACATTAGGTAAAGGTAATTATATCGACGATATAACTACGTATTTTATAATTAATATCGTAATCATATCAATTACGTATATTATCGTATGTATCTGTGTATGTTTGGTGTTCCATAACATGGATGTTTGGGTTCTAAAAAAGGCTGCTCAAAGATAATGATGTGCCCATTTCCCCTCTGCTCCAGACAAGCCAACGAATATCTTTGCCTCACACAGTTTCATCTTGTTCTGGCAGGGACTTAATGTGGACCATCTGCTTAAAACACCTGTTTACTCCCTAAAAGACGAGGAAGATTGAAATAGAAGTTTAAATTGTTTAATGTCTCTTGAAGACTATCAAGTAAACCAGGGCTTGGTGATGATTAAGCATACACAGAGCAGAGTATTACTTGAACAGTGAAAGACATAACTGTGAGCAAACATTATTATTGGAATAAAAAAATCCTCCAAGTACTAGAATCCGGATAGGGGAGCCCGGGGCTTGTTGTCACACTTTTTACATTCTTATATATTTCTTGGAATCAATACATCATATTTAGACAAAATTTGTACCAGATGAGAGACCAAAGTCTAAGGTATATATTTTGTATTTATGTCATTTTCATATCATGTGTCAGTGATAAGTGCTCAAACAGAGAGTGTGAACATGTGACATGTTGCCCCACCATTGGATAAGTTGTCTCACTATATGGAGTAAGATGTCACAGTGGATTTTGCAGCTAATAAAACAAGGACAAAATTATTATTGTTCTCATTTCTTTTTTTTTTTTCACCTGAAAGTGAACATCAAAGTCAGGCACAGAAAATGTTTATCACTGAGCTAGAAAAAGTTATTAAAAATAGCCATTGAACAAACATTAACCCCAAAATGACTAAGACATGTTGCCCCGAACTACCATGCTTGCCAATTCTAGCTGTAGCTTAAGGTTATCTTAAAATAGAACAATGACTGAGGTATGACAGGATGCCTTAATCTCTCCTCTAACAAGTCTACATGTATCACTGCTGGGATTTTTATCTGGGAGAAGTTTATTTTAAAATATGTAAAGTTAAAAATTTTCACTTTGGGTTGTGCCGAATGATTAATTGGCACTCATCTCAGCTCACAATGTGCTCTTCTCTTCTCAGACAGGACACGATCCCCTGACAATGTAAAGGAGAAAACGAGTATTCCACTTTTAAGTTGCGCCCTCTGGTGGAAAAGATAATCGCAGTGTGACAACAAGCCCCAGTCTCCCCTACTTGTATTACAGAACTGCACATTGTTTTAGTTATCTCTTTTTTTTTTTCATTTAGTTTGTTAGTTAATTAAAGTAGGTTCTTAACTACAGAAAAAAAAATCAATCTACCAAAAAGAACTCAACAGAATTGATGTCTGGTTTAGAAACAAAATGAAACCCAAGTGTAAGCAAACGTTCAGGCTGTGAATCTACAATGTAAAATGAAACGCTGTGTTTGATATTTACTTTAAGTGTCATGATTATGGCTCTACACCTATCCATGGTGAAATTATTGGAGATTTTCGCAGCATGATTTGTCAGTATACTCTGTAGAGTGTTCACAGCACTTGAGTCAGTGCAGAGAGGATTATTTAGAGCCCAAAAAGATGTACTAAATGCACAAATTTACACTGTAACATTGCCTGTACTCTACTGTAGCTCTAATTAGATGTATTTAAATGGATGAAGACATATTAACTACTGCCTTTTTCGCCACTCTGCAGGTCCTGTCTGCAGCGGAGCTTTTTTTTAATGCACTACCACTCCAACACAACAGAGGGCGCAGAAAAGAAAGAACGGTGATTATCAGCGGCCGTGTGATTGGTCTATTCGTGTACTCTTTGTAGGCGGGTTTTCTGAAAATCTTCAGCGTTTACTGTTGACACCGTCGACTTCAGACACAGTCGGCTACTCATTTTAATTCTAAAACAAGTCTCATAAGAGTCATTTTAGCTGCATATAGTGTACTGTTTTGGTAATAATGGGCGACTCTACCAAAAGTTTGTTGCAACGGATCATAAGACGGATACCGAGTCGGGCGATAGAGTCGACGCTGAGGAAATGGGGCCGACTGACCGCAGAGCAGCTGCAGTCCATCGACTTTACCCAGCCCAAATGGACAGTAACGCAAGAACTGTTGGACATGTGTGAGGTATTATAATCCCTTTCTTTAATATAAAACTGTAATTTAAATTTGCAAAAACAGCCGACGTAGCCGTTACTACACGATTTCAGTGCAATTCAAGTTGTGCTGAAGACACGTTTACATAACAGAAACAACTGGACCTGAAAATCTGAGAAAATACACAAAGAGCTAAAACGAAGCGGTTTGGGAAAGAAAGGGGAACAGTTTTCACACAACTATGCAAGATAGCATCATTAGACAATTATAGCTTAAAGTTTAAAAATATGATTACTGATCAATATTTAACTTTTATTGACAACAGAGAAATAAGAATATAGTGAGGACTGTACAAACTCAAGTAGGGCTGAAACGATTACTCGAGTAACTCGAGTAACTCGATTAATAAAATTCCTCGAGGCAAATTATATGCCTCGAGGAATCGTTTAAATCCGGAACCATGTGCAGCGCACGGTGTTTGACACGGACGGTTATTTCTGTTGCGCAGAAGCGTGCTCTTTCCGCTCCTTCCGCTGCCGCGCGTTTGGTTCAATCATGGAGGGAAACGAGGACAGACAGAAGCTGTGTCCGAAATGGCATACTGCCTGCTATCTACTTACCTACTCAAGCAGTAGCTACTGCCTACTGACTACTCAAAGATGATTTGAGTATGCCGCGGCTGCCCGAGCGTTTACACACATACATACTAAATACCCCAGAATGCATTTCGTGCCGGCCGGACGCAGCGCCGGGAAAATTTAAATAGTCCTACCACAAGCTACATAGAACGACTGCATACCGGACAAATTATATAAATTCATTCAATAATAATATTTTTTCTAGCGAGAAAGTAAGTGTTTACATCACGATTATGAGCCCAGTTGTTTGAAATAGTGGCTGTTTGTAAATTTGTCTCGGCGTTTTCGGAGACCGAAGCGTCCACTTAGTCGGTGTTTGCGTCTATTTACCGTAAACACCGGGCAGCAGCAGCTCCCCCTTCACGTTTCCAAATTATTGCGAAGTGTTTTCATAATCAACATCTACACGACACAAACCGGGCGGCAGTGGATGAAAAAAATCACACAAACATCCGTGTATCCATGGTGATAATGCTATACACCACCTGCTAGGCGTGTGATGAGCAGCAGAGGGCTGCAAAATGACCAACACACAACAACATGTAAATAAAAATGTAACACTTTTATATATTGAATAAATGTACATTTGCTTGTCAAATTATGTTAGTATCCAAGAATTATATTATTTCAGCCTATTAATTAAACAAGTAAAATTAGATCCAAAGCCTGGAAATAGTTGTGACTGGTTTAGTGAAAACTGCAAAGATCATTACCATAGCAATTAAAAGACCATCTGCAGACCTTGCCTTCAGTAGTTTCATGTGAACTACATGGTAAAATGTAAAACTTTTTCTGATTTATGCAGTAAAAATATTCATTTGAAAGACCTGGCCTATTTCAGTTTTGTGTGTTACTGATGGTTTTTAATGAGGCAAACGTGATTCAATGCAAAGTATTACAGTGAGAGCAAAACATTTCTTATCCGATTACTCGATTAATCGACAGATTAATCGATAGAGTACTCGATTACTAAAATAATCGATAGCTGCAGCCCTAAACTCAAGTGACAACTGTCCCAACATTTTATAACATTTTTTCTTTAATGTATTGTAAATGTACGATATTAGTGTGTGTACAGTCAACACATCTGTTGAATATGTCAAAATGACCTGGCCTGTGACACTTATAACTGTACACCTGTGGTGGGACTCACTAGTGGCCCCACGATACGATATTATTGCGATTTTTAACATTTTGCAATACAGTGAGTATTGCAATAGAATATATTGCGATTTATACATTTTTTTTCAACTGATTAGCTAATTTAGCATTTGTCTATCCTTTATGTTTGTCTTATTCACACTCTATTTTATTTTCGTGTTGCACATCTTGCAAACCAATGTTGTTTGCAAACGATGATGTTGATGAAAATATTTCGCAACGAAAACAACACTGCAGAATATATGTTTGGCGTTTGACTGACGAAATGCTCATGAATTTTGCAACTCTGTTCGTCGTTCACCACCAACGTTTTCATCTAGTCTTGTCTCATCAACGTAAACGCACATTCGTCTCGTCACATTTTAGTCATCTAAGACTTATTTTTAGCTCGTCAACTTCAGAAATAGATAAGTTACGCTATTTACTGCACAAAAATAAAGTCATCAAACCTGCCCCTAACTTCTTTGTCTGAGGTTTTACATCAGTTCTGTGTCTCCCTGCAGCTGAATTGAGCATCTTTATTCAAAGCCTCTGATTTGGCTTTGACGGCAGGGTCATAGAAACAGGGTCCTGATCCAAAACCACCATACCCAGATTGGTCAGATCAAGGAGAGTCTACAGAGTTTTAAAAACTGTTTTGCAAAATTGTGATCAGCTCTCTGAGTGATTTAATATTAGTCACATTGCAAAACTGATGGATTTCTCCCCAGCTGTCTGAAATTAGAGTGACAGAAAAAAGTACAAGAACCAAAATACTTGTTTAATTGCATTATTCTGAACACAAGAATATCATTTATATTCAACATTAGCCAGTGGCTGTTTTAGCTCTGATATGCTGTCATTGGACAGATGCTGATATGATGCCGATTATGTACATCAAAATATCTGTCTTTAGTCCTGGACAAGAACCCGTGAACTAGATTCATCCTGATTTTCTTGGAGGGACCACGGATTTTTAAGATACATTCAGACAAGAAATCCTTTATTCTGAATACACAAAAAAACAGGTGAAAAAAGTGTAATAGCTCTTTCTTGCATTTTTACAATAAAGTAAACCTCTGTTGTAACCTCTTTTCTTTGATGTCCTCCTTCAAAGCTGACTCTCTGGATGGGTTTAAGATGCTAAATTCAGCATTGCACTGACATCACAGAGCAGTTTGGCTCAGCACTATGTAAAGTCATTGCTCACTGCTTTGTTTGCACTAAAACACTGGTGTTTGTTTGTTTGGTCGCTTTTCATACCGTCTTTCCAACCAGCATCTAACGGAACTGAACAGGAGCTTACAGGGTGCTTTTCTGCTCCTCATACTTGGAACATATTACAGAAAAGCTGAAAACTTTGATGACTTGGAGGCAGACACATCTAGCTTCAGCATTCTGCCTGTTAAATTTTTGACAGTGGGAAACAGATCTTGTTATTTTCTATTCTAAGAATGTGTTACCATCCCATATCTTGTGTTTTCACGTTTGTATTTCTGGCTGCACAGTGTTTTCTGAAACTTTGTGACTGGGCTGCTGCCTGTCTTGGTCAGGACAGGTGTGGTCATCTTAAACTGAAACTCTGCATGTTTTCTTTACAGGAAGGTAACTGGACACTTAAATTCATCACTGAACTTGAGATGTCATGTAAGTGCAATGAATTAATTTGTTATTTAACCTTGAGAGACGAGCGATGTGTCGCCCAATTAAACATATTATCCTATCCATTTACATACTTAATGTGTTGTTCTGCCTCTGTTGCCTCTCAGATATCATAGACAATCCCAACCAGGGAATGTGGTACGCCTACCAGCTCATGAACCCTGAAGGTATGCAGAAAAAACAAAAACAAACCATCAATTAACTTAGATCCTCTACCAGGAAGACAAAAGTTTGTAGGTTTTCTTCTTTATTTCTTATTCATAAAACAGAAGAATCAACAGTTGCTAGTGTAATTACATTTTCTTTAAGGTGAATCATTTGTTAATTAAACGAGGAAAGTAACCTTCTAAGGTCTTCTTCGTGAAAATCAGTCCACGTTTCTTCTTCGCACCGTATTTACATTATCTTCTGTATGTTGTGACATAATTTCCTCCTCTTTATTTCAGATGACGCCAACAGTGTGGAGCTCACTCAGTTCAAGGAACAGTTTAAGTCTCACCTAAAACAGCTTGTAAGACATGTAAGTCAAAGCCAGTGATACGAACGCATGATTTGATATCACATGTGGTATTCTGAACATGTTATAGAATGATCTGCTTCTTTATTTTCTCTCAAGATTTCTCTCAAAATGAAGAAGCACACAGATGAAGCTGTATGGATTCGGATTGCATGGGGGGACCGCTTCTTTCAGCCCAATCACATGAAACCAACATATGCAGTTCACTATCTTCAGACTCCATATGTCTTTGTGACCAGCCTGACTTCAAAGCACAAGCCCCTGTTTTCTCAGGTGAGCAACAAGTTCGAGAAATAGACTTTTATATGATATGTTCAGTTGTCAGGTAGCCTTTATTTTACATCTTTTATTCCTTTTTAAAAGACTGATGTACTTTTCAGGCCATGACTCTGTCCACCAGATATCAAGCTATCAAGGATGCTAATCTCAGTGGGCGGAACCTCACTGCCATCAGGGACCTGCTGATGAGACAGTTCCAACAGGTACGCTGATTGTGAGGATGACAGGAGGACACAAAGCTCTGTGTCTTACTGTCTTACTTTTTTCATGCAGAGGCCAGAATCAACCATCACTGAACTCTTCCATGATGCACAGGGAAATTAAAAATATCTATTATATAGCTGCGCGAAACAACTACCTGTCAAAGAGAAAATATCTATTTTCATCAGTGTTGAAAGATATGATTGAGGATGATATTGATAAATGAAAATGGACTTGGATGTGGGTAGGATGACTGAACAGAACTGCCACTGCTCCCCTGAGGTCCTATAGTTCATCATAGAATGAGTCCTTCCTACACTCAGACACTTAACTTGCATAGTCTCACAGAAAGAGGAGCGTTTTTCCCTAAACTTCGCCCCGTCTCTTGGTGGTCTCAAAGCAGTTTCGAAGCGTTAAACCCCTGGTGAGCTTCTCTCTGTTCCCTGTGATGTTTTTCAAAGTCTGTTCTGAGTCGTTACTGAATGTAGGTGTGAATGATTAAATAGTTTTAATATTGAGAGGTGGTCAACTGATCTCACTTTTTTAACGGCTGAAGCCGGTAACTGGTAATGAGAGGGCAGGGCAGACAAAGCCTTTACAACTGTTAATGTCCTCATAGTCTTATCTTTGGGATTTGTCATTTAAATCAGGGGTCTTTGAAGGAAATGCAATGTTTTATGAGTCTGACTGTTTGGTCATGGTTGAAACTGTGCCAGCGTTTCAATGAAATAAATGAAAACAAATGAACTTCACCATCACTTCTTTGTCAAACAGCAGAGATTTTTGACCACATTTTGTAGCAGTCTGTGTCAAGGGTACAACTTCCAAAACAAGCCGATAAAACCCATGATGATGTAATTTTTTTCATATGACAAGCCTGCTGTCAAAGATGGTTGTACACATTCTTAAAAAGATGGAGCTGATGTGTTTTGTGCTTGGATGGATTTCAAATGTCTGTTTTTTTTCTTTTTAGGCGTTCCCCACAAAGCACCCCAGCCCTCTTGCAGAGAGGAATCAAACTGTCTCACGTATGTGTATTATACATTGTATAGCTTGTGCTTGAAAATTGCTTATTGAATGTCATGTACTTTGCTGTAAGGTCTTTTTCTTTATGAGTGTGTCAGAGTTGTGCACTGTGATTTACTGTTGTTGTTTTTTTTCATTTGTTAGACCCTCGAATAGAGAAAGAGCAGGATGGAAATGCAGCAAACAGACTTGAGCTGGCCTGTGAGGCCTTTGGTGGTGGGACATTACCTCAGCTACAGTCTGCAGTTTACAAGGTACCCCGAGGGATTCTTGTGTTGATAATAGTTACTTTGTCAAAATAAAAAAAAATGGAATTGCTCAAGTTTAAATTACACAACTAAATGTCCTGCATTGTCTTTTCACTGTAGCAGCTCCTAAAGCAAAAGTAGACACTCCTCTGTGCTGTGATCAGTGATCATCTCAATGACATGCTGTGTACATGTTTTTTTTCCTCTTTTAGCTTGAGACAAAATTCAGAGACCAAACCAACAAGGCCATGACAGAGCGGGAAGAGTCTTTCAAATGTATTGTCAAATTTGCGAGTACCAACCTGCTGGAGTCGCTCAGACACTGTGCATCTTCAGGTACCAAGAATTTGTCCTGCCACATACTGTATTTACAAAATTTAAGCAACAACAAGGGGAAACAAATATGAATGTTTTATACCACTAGCAATTCTATAAATGACCACAAGAGGGCACACAAATAAGAGGAGACATCCCCACTCAAACACCACTACTGTCTATCATCCATAAGTCATAGTGGGAATTATTTTCTGAGGCAGATTTTATTCCACTGTCCCTTTATTGTGCAGGAAAGTTCTCTTTATTTCTTATGATTTCATGAAAACAGTAAATGCACTCCACCACTTTGACTAATTTCACATCTTTTGGTGTTTTTCAGGATTTGCCTCCACCCCTGTCACACCTCTGCTCTCATCTATTTCCCTCAAAGGAAAGAATTATTTTGTCATCACAGACAATAGCCCTGGTGCCGCCTCACAGCCAAGGCGAGCACAGGATAAATGAGCGACAGGCCTTTTACACAATGGACTCCAATTCTGACAATAACACGCTAACTATGGACAGATCATTGATCTTAAGGATTTACAGTGGCTTCCAGCCTTTTTTCTGCCTTCCCCCCTCATGGCTTGTTTATACCATTTTATCAGTTTATCAGCGAGCTCCTCTTTGACATGGATTTAAGACAGTCATCGAGTCTGGGCTATGGGATGAATTCATGTTGTCTTTATGTGTTTCCCGGTGACAGTGAGTAAGTAGTTGCTTTTATATGATTGTCATTTGATTGTCTTTTGTCTGTGTTTACATTGTACCATTTAATGTTATGTCTTTATTGAATATAAAGCAGGACTTTTAATTACTGTATGCCATCTTCAAGCCATCCATACACACATTTTATCTGTCTGCTTCTGCTTTTTATCGGCTTCAGCGTCAGAAGTCCCTCATGTAGTCATTTGGTATAACTCAACTAAAGAACACTAGTTATTCAACGCCGGTATTTAGTGTTCTTGAGTAAAAGATAACTCAAACCTCCCAGTCTGATAATAAAGACCTTTTGAAGGATAAGTTGACATTTGAAACAAAACTCACTGGCTACTGTTCACATTGAAGCAGAAATTAGTGGGTGGCTTCCATAACACTACCACTGTAAAGAATGGGGTTTGACATACAAAGCCAAAGGTAACATAAGGCCTGCTACTTTCAATAGCCTTAACACACATTTTTGATTGATCTGTGATACCAGCCAATATTAACAAAAAAAGGAAAGAGCAATCAAAGTGAAGATGCTGAATTTCCATTTACTAATGTTCAGTTCAATGTCTGGCACATGGCCTGAGTTATCACTGTTTCCAAATGCACCAGTGTAATTTTATAGTACAAAAATAAATGTATGCAGTTATAAAGTTTTATCCAAATTTTTATTTAAAAATAAGTCCAAAGTATATGAATGATACTGTTCACGAACATTTTCCTAGAGTTTTGAGGTTTGCCCCTTCATGCTAATAAGGACCTTTAAATCTGACAAAGTGCAGTAAAACAAAAGCACCTAAATACAAAACCTGTTTCTAACTTAAAAATAAAGTCTTTCACACAGACACAGGTGTGGGTCCCTTCCCACTAAGGCGGCTATCTAGCATAGTTGCTACAATAGCACACAACAGATTGTGATACACTGATATCAACAGACACATGCCCTGTTGACTGACATAGTGTATCATGTTCTGGTGTCAGTAGCCAATGCTCCTCTGTACCCTGTAGAAACTATTTATCTACATCAAATTTCATTTAAAAAAATACCCTAAAAAGTACACTAAAAAATAATGCAAACAATGGTTGAGTATGATGAAGAAGAAGAGAGTGGTTATGTCCAAACCATTTTGTGTTTGGAGATGCTTTTGAAGGCAAAATGTGGATGATCTGTGTATTTATTGTACATCATAGCAGCTTCTTGTCCTTGAAGGCCACTGTTGCTTTAATCTAGAATCTAACCTCTGTACATGCTAAATATTCCCAAATCAAAGTTAACTTACTATCCCTGTGAGGGGCAATTTGTTTTGCAGTCGGCAGAAACAAAATAAAAACAGTCATCCACGTATCTTCAAAAGGTGGAGACAGAGGAAATGTAAATCCGGAGGAAATAAAGGCAACAAGTGAAGTGTAAGCCACTTAAAAAGCCAAAAGCACCTAGGACAAATGAAGTTTTTCTGCATTTCTGCATGTCTTTCCAAGGAGACAGCAACTTAAACTCTGCAAACAGAAGATAAACTCTTTTATGGTCCTGTTTTCGTTCAACTGTGCAAGATTAGGTAGGGTCAGTCTACAGGCTGTGTAACAATTCAAATACAGTCTATGGGTAAGACCTGCAATTTTATACATGCTTTAAAAGGACCTGTAGTGTTAAAGTGTTGATGATTGTAAAGCTCAGTGTGTTTATGAACCGTATAATTTAATTTGAACTGGTGCATTTAGGGGTGTGTTTTATTAAACTCTGCCTAATGGCATATTTTTGCAAACGGAAGTACTGTAATATACCGGACGTGACGTAGGCTGCGCTGTCCCTAGCAGCGTAGTGTTGGAAGGCGGTGTCGATGCAGCCTTTCAGGCAAAGCGGAGGGACGTTATGTCACTTTTCATTCAATGCTGCTGCTGGGGCTTTTTGCCAAACACAGAACGGACTGTCCGCGCAGAAACATGGCTTCCTCTGCAGTGAGTAAGGCAAATAACAGAGAAAAAGCTTCTTCAGACAGCCCGAAATGTCCTGAGGAGTCTGTGTCGCAGTCCGGGGACATTATAACCCCCTCCATCACGGAGCTGACCAAAGGAGTGAGGACCAACATCCTCTGCACCGTGGAGGGATGTGGCAAGATTCTCCCCAACACACCTGCACTTAACATGCATCTTGTTAAGTCGCACAGAGTGAAGGTAAACGCTTTTAAACCTGTCTGATGTTCATGTAGAAGAGGGCAGCGTGTCACCTCTATGCTAACTTGGCTAACTGAAAACATTGGCACAGAACTGAAAAAACGCAAGTCATCCATAACAACTTAGTCTGAGCTGACTCTGAGCGGTGATGCCGAGCGAACAGAGATTTTCATTTAGAGAAAGGTCAAAGTGTACCTCTGTATGTGAGTGAGAAGCAGCGAAACGTGAATGTTGTCAAAGTGAAGTTTGGCGTTAGCGAGCTAACTAGCAACGCTACAACTGCCCACTGACGTCATCAATTACTGATATGGACCGCACGTGATGACTGATGCTCGCGGCATTTACCTACACACACCTGATTAACCCCTTCATTTCATTAAGAGTTAACTAATTTTTCTGGACCCAATCCTATTAGTTAGTGATGCACGATATGAAAAATTACAACCGATACCGATAACCGATAATTTTCTTCTTCTCATGGCCGATACCGATAACCGATAAATTCACATTTTTACATTTATTATAATCTTCATATAATCTGCAGTTTGTGCAGGATGCAGTGATTGAAAACTGATATTTTTGTTGCTCTGGCCTATCTAGAACAACAAACTAAAGTTTTTGGCTCTTCAAATGTTTATTTTTTCCATGTCATCACAAAAATCTGTGGTCATTAGCTATAACTAACAATAACAAAGCAAAAAGCAGAACTTCGTTTGACCAAAACAGTGCATCCCCTGAACTGTTCAACAGAACTGTAGACTGTAAAGGAGTTATTATGAGACGTTAGGCTTAGCATGCTGACCGGACTAACATCTGACGTCCATATGTCTGTGGTAAAACTCACGTGTAGTCCGTTCTTGTCGATCAGGTTGTGAATGTATGTGGCGACAATATCATAGAGTGCAGGAAGGGACACATCCGAGAAGAAGCGGCGGCTTGGGAGTGTGTAACGTGGCTCCAAGTGTGCTATGAACTTACGAAAACCCGGGTTGTCAACGACGGAAAAAGGCTGGTCGTCGACCGCTAAGAACTCCATCACTTTGTCGTTAATGGCTTTAGCCTTTTCGCTGTCTCTTGAGAAGCTTTTGCAGTTTTCAAACGCCTGCTGAATGGGGACATCGATCCTCCGTAGTGTTGTTGTCTTAGCTTTAGTACCGCTAGCAGCTTCGGCGGCTGTCTCATAGTCTTTTAATACCGCTTCGCCGCGATGGCGACTTTTCAGATGAGCTATCAGATTCGTTGTGTTAAAACTTGACGTCTTCTTTCCTCCTCTCGGAATCCTCGCTGAACAGGTTTTGCATATAGCAGCTGTTGTCATCTTCTGCCACTGAGAAAAACGACCATGCTGGTGAAGACATTTTATTATCAGTCAGGTAGTGACAGGGGTCAGATTTGGGACCTGCAAATAATCCGCGACGGGCGGCTATTCCGCCTGCAAACGTTACTCGTAATTTCATTAATATATCGGATCTTTCTATCGGAAAAATGCACCTATCGGACCGATAAAAAATGACGTAATTTCCCCCCAAATCGGCCGATATTCTATCGGTCCGATAAATATCGTGCATCCCTACTATTAGTACTTTATTTATATAAAGTATCTGCCGATTATGTGTCGTGATTTGATACTTGCATTTTCCTAGATAATACAACTTCATCCCTTTTTATCCTTAAAATAACAACAAAAAAAGATACCTTCAGTTCAAACCTCATAACTTAGCATTGTAGCAGATCGCACAAATATAATCAAAACTCAAGTGTAATGGCTTATAAACTGCAATGTGGAATAATTGGCTTGAGATCAGACTGTTGCAAGAAGGACCATATTTGTTCCTATCTGATAGGTAAGACCAGGACATCCTTGTATAAAACACTGGCTAGGGACTCTCTTTCCATTTTTATATTGAAGGGATATTCCGGCGTAAAATTAATATAGGGTCAAACCCACTTTAACACAGAGTTAGACACGCCCTCGAGAGATGAATGTTGCCGACCGCTTGCTTCTCTTGTTATACCAAATTTACTAACAACCGCACAATAGCAATACACAGTGGTCTGAGGAGCCACACGCTCAACCAAAACGCCACTCTATAGCCACAAATAATGCTCAGAACAGCTATTTTGTCCCAGTCATAGCACTAGCCACCAAACATCTTTTTAACTGTGCCTAATTTCTTCAGCAAAGAGACTAAACACAACTCACCTACTCTCTTCCAGCAGCCGCTTGTTTGTAGCGAGACCTCGAGCCAATCCATTACGGACTACAGCGGGGTGACGCAGCTCAAGGAAAAACATTAATGATCATTTCTTCATGGAAATGCAATCAGACCGAGACGCTAAGGCAGAAGAACTACCACGTTTGCAGTGCAAAATAATTAATATGATGATTATTACTTCAAGGAAATGATAGAATAATGATCATAAATGTTCTTCCTTGAGCTGCGTCAACCCACAGAGGATATCTTTCCTAAAGAGTCTGTTCAGTTGAAAAACTTAAGGGGAAAACCAGTCCTGTACATCCTGACAGAGTTTCAGAGAAAATAAATTGTAAAGTTAAATTGTTAAAAGTTTCTAACACAGTTTGTTACGGACACACTCAGTATCCTTTACATAGTGTTTTTGGACTCATACAGTCAGCAATGCAAAGCCAGTGTAAGCATCTGGACCAAAGCTTACTTTTAACTCCGGATCCCAAGTTCTCTGACGACTGGTCTGTTTTGTGGGAGGCTGTAATTCACAGTTTCCCTCCATGAATGAAGTTCTTTGCAGAGAAAGGCTGCCTTTTGTCCAGCATTAGACTAAGCTCTTTGTCCAAAATAGGTGAATGTTAGAATTTGAATTAGCCCTCAGAAGGAGTCCCAATGAGCCTAAAGAATGGTAAAAGCCCTATCAGTGGTCTGTCTCTGCTACTACATATGTAAAACCACATGCTCTATGTACATATAAGATTGAGTCTTCTATGATTTTTAGCTGTCATATTTTGAAGATAATTTTACTCAACTGCCTGGAAGTTTCTGCTTTCAGAAAAGTTTAGTTTTTTTGCTCTACATTCACTTTTAAAGCATGAATTGTGCCTTTAAAAATGTAAAGTGAGGTGTAAAGAATCAAGCAACGGTCAAAAGCGGGTATAGAGAGCAGAGACTGAGCATGTTGTTTTTTAGATCATCATCATACTGGTACAGCTAAACTGGACATATGTAATCAGTCCTTTTGAGGCTCCAATAATAAGTCTTGTGTGACTTACTTGGCTTCACTTTCTTGTTTTGTGTGTTGCTGACATGAGCAACAGGAAAAGGCTTAAAGAAATACGACTTTCTTAATATTGTATTGTGTAGTAGTAGTAGTAATCAAAACATAAATTAAAAGTGCTAACCCTTGAAAAGTCTGCTCTAAGTGCAGTGGACTGACCCTGGTTTGGCAAAACTGATTCTAGATTTCCCCCCGAGTTTGGCGCTACATCAGGCTGCTGACTTATGATGAATAGTGCGCTGACATGATTCAGCCCGCAGTCTACAACCAAAGATACATCTAAAACCAAATGTCAGTTCATTCTCTGTTGGCACAGTTTCTTGTGATGGACTGTAGGGTGTTCGTCAGCTATGGATGCTTGGCCCTCCTCAGTGCTAAAACAGATGGAGGTGACCTTGACTACTCGAAGGCTGCAGTTTATTACTGTTATGATACATGAATACATGATGGGTTTAGTCCATTTTCATTATTCAGCTTCTCTATTAAGCATGATTTTCATTAGCTTTAAACATACAGTGTGCTGCTTGTGAAAGCTCACCTTGAGGGTGAGATGAGCAGCGATACAGCCAGTCATTTTGCACCATGCACTGTCAAACTCATTAGCTTCTTTTGTGAGGTTATGGATGACAGAGCTTACAGCACATTCTGAAGTGTGGGGGCTCTGCAAGGTTATTTAAATCTTATTGGCTTAAAGTTACACTGATTAAAAAATCTAAGGTGTTCTTGAAGCTCCAAATTTATTATTTTTAGTCATATTTTGTCCGTATTATGTGTTAAAAAAACAGCAGTTCTGTTGGTAAACCTGTAGGATGCAAAGTAAGAGCATTTCATCTGTTTGATTACAACAAAATTCAAAGGTTTCTCTGTTTTGTCCTCTATTTCTGTTGCCCTGCCAACGTCACCCTCAGGATGGTATCGTCAATCCCACGGTCAGGAAGGACATGAAGAGCTCGCAGAAGCTGTACTGCTGCCCTATTGAGGGGTGTCCCAGAGGCCCTAACAGACCCTTCTCTCAGTTCTCCTTGGTTAAACAAGTAAGCCTTTCCTCCAGTGACACGCTCTTGTTGCCATGCTATCTGAAGAATAAGATGACGTTAAATCTTTCATTAAAAGTTGTCGCTACTTGAAAAAAGTGCAATGTAAATCAGTTACTGAAAGTTTGTTTTTACCATCCAGAGTGCATTTCTCTAAAACTGCAGTATGAACAGCTGAAAAACGCTGTCTTCATTTCATCACACTGTTTCAATAATACACTGGAATTCAACAGTACTTGAATCACTCAAAGTTATATCCCCTCCTGCCATTTAAAGATTTCTTTTTGTTAATCAAAAGCTCCACATTTCTAAAATTTGGATTTACTTTATATGTTAAAAAAGTTGTGTTCATTCTGCTCTTTCCTTTTTTTCCACCTGTGTGAATGCAGCACTTCATGAAGATGCATGCAGAGAAGAAACACAAGTGTGTCAAATGCAACAATGGCTACAGCACTGAGTGGGACCTAAAGAGGCACATAGAGGACTGTGGGAAGACCTACCAGTGTACTTGTGGGTGCCCCTATGCCAGCAGGGCTGCACTGCTATCACATATCTACAGGACCGGCCATGAGATCCCCACAGAACACAGGCATGTATAGTATAGCCTTATAGTCACTGAAACGGCTCTAGATGAGGCTTGAAGTAAAACCTTATTTTGTGTCTTCACAGAATTCCTCCAGTTAAAAAGCGGAAGATGGAGAAACTGTTGGGAAGCTCAGAAAAGGTTAACGAGTCGACCTGTCACATCACGTCTGCTGCCAAGGAGCTTTCAGAGACTGCCCTCCCTTCTGACACACCTGTTCACATTTTAGACTCTGTGAATCAGAACTCAAACCCTCGTAAGAACCTCCAGAAGCTGCTCCTTCCAAAGCCCAAGATCGCTTTGGTCAGCGTTCCTGTGATGCAGCTTGCCCACTTGCCTGTCCTCCTTCCATCCACAGAGAGTGGGGCTCTAAGGTCTGTAGTGCTTGCAGTCGACAGCCAAGGCTCAGTCAGCACCCTCCACCTCCTGCCACAAGCCACAGGAGCTGTGGTGCCCCAACTCGATGCTAAGAGTTTGGGTTTTAAGGACAGCATGCCCACTTCCCGCTCTAGCCTTGGGCCTGTAAGCACAGGGGTGCAGGTCAGTCTGGACCCTGCCGGTCCAGAGGACTCAGCTAGTAGCCTTGGAGGACAGAGGGGAAGAAGCACATCCACCAACATCCAGACAGACAAGTCCTACTTGTCAAAAATACCCTCAGGAGTTGGGGTAGGGGATGGGTTGGGCTTGTGCTCAGTAACAGAGTCCTCAGTGTCATCTTGCTCCCAAACAGACATCAGCGTAAGTGCCCAAGTCCTCCTCCCAGTCAGCGTTGAAACACAAACATTCTCCTCCCGGGCCAAAGCCACTTCCACTATTGGAGCTCAGACGGACAGCCAGTGCATGAACCAGATCCCCTGCTCCTCCTCATCGGTGCCTCCCTACAGAACCAGGCAGACACAGACACATTTTGCCTCACTACAGTCAGAAGAAAAAACTCACGACCAAGCGATCATGTGCTCTGACCTGTTCGGCAGTGACTCCCTGAGTGTCTCCACTCAGACAGCTCTGGACTTAGATGACACTCTCACTGCTGCAGGAAGCAGTATCTATGAGGACTCAAAGTCAGCAGGTGGTATGTGTTTTGGGGTGCAGACAGTCGAGCTCAGCTCAAGCAACATGGCAGACAACCAGACTCAAACAATGACCTTGTTAAATGATCTAGAAAACATTTTGTCCGACAGCATGTCGGGCCACCAGGTTCTCAGTGTCGCCTCTGCAGGCTGTGGCTCAGGTCTGGGCTCAGTTCAAGAGCAACACAACGGCATTGACTTTGACTTTGAGGAGTTTCTTAATGCCGTGCACATCCAGACACAGACCGAGGAGAGCGAGCTGGGAGGACTGGGCGGGGACACACAGCTGGAGTCTCTGGACATTCAGACCCAGACAGACTTCCTCCTGATGGATGAACTGGACCAAAGCGAGGGACCAAATCGAACCCAAGCCAACGACCTGGAGCTATTTGATACTCAAACTCAGACTGACCTCAATTTCCTGCTGAGTGCCGGCAGCCACATGCCCCTGAGCAGCATCCTACGACATTCAAGCTTTTCTATGAGCACTGAGTCATCAGACACAGAAACGCAGACTGATCTCCCTCCATTTCCCAGCAGCCTCTCTGCTCAGACTCCTGTCAGTCAGGGTGAACATGCAAGGCTGCTGAACAGCATAGAGACTCAGACCACCAGCCAGGCAGAAGGACTGGGACACCTCTTCCTGACGAGCAATGAAACACAAACTGTAATGGATGACTTCTTGTCAGCAGACCTGGCCTGGAATATGGAGTCTCATTTCAGCTCTGTGGAAACACAGACGTGTGAGGAGCTCTGCGCTCTCTTTCAGCACCCTGAGAAACCCAACAGCTGAAACCTTCAGTGAGAAGCTGTCTGAAGTTTTCCAGTGCAGGTTTCAGATGCCTGTATATTCCTCGAGTGGAATAAGTCTACACTGTCCTCCAGTGGACCACAGTCTTACCAGAATGAAATCTGCGAAAATTGTCTTTGAACATTCCCGTGGAGACATCGTGTCAGGAGTTGTTCCAGGTTTAAGTCCTGACAGCTCTGCTGCACTTTATTATAGCTCAATGGGCATGACTATCCGCTCCTATGACAGTTTACATATTTATTTGCACATAAGGTAACATTATACGTGTCTTTTCTGAAATGCCAGTTTACTTCTCTATTCCAGTGTTGAACCACTGTGACTGGTTTTCACTGCTTGGTCTTACTAGCAGTTACAGAACAACCCAACATTTCATTAATGTTAGGTCTGCTCTTCAGAAGATGGGAGCTTTAGCTGCACAAGAACAAGCTTCTAAAATTGTTACGGCAGCTTTGAGGTATGCACACACTGCATGAGAACAGTATCATCTCAGCATCTGAAATCAACATTGTGCGTTTAGTATATGCATTACACACACGTGTTAAAGTATGGTGCATTTTACAGCTTGTGCATCTGGTGGCCGCCTCTTTGATATCACCTGATCAGAGACAGCATGACTAAAAACTTAAAGAGTAACTGCAAAACAAGCTTTGCTGTCAGTGATAACCTGAACCACCAACAGCCTGTCAGCTGAGATTTTCCAAAATAAAAGCCCACGAAGCCTTTGACAGTGAACCACTCAGTTGTGTCCCTGACACAGAACTCATTGAGAAGTGGCACAAGTAAAGATGAACAGTTTTTTGAAATGTCTCGTTTGTTGTTGCACAATTTCATTGAAATGTGTTTTGTGAAGTATTCTGTTGTTGCGTGAAAACTTGTTAGTGTCTGGGCCATTATAGCTAAGCAGTCAATTAAAGTCAGTCAGCAGACTAGGCTGTCAGCGTCTTTGACTTATTCATTAGCTGGGTGTAAGTGTATACAGAAGCAGTACACAGTGCTGTAGTGATGCAGTAATGTCACTGTAGGGAAGCACATACTGGATTAGAGCAAGGATTAGCACAGAGATGTACGTATTCACTACCTGAAGAGTCCCGGTAACTATATTAACTTCAATTCATCTGATATTGAACCTTAACCTTAATAAGACATATTTCTATTTATTCATTTTCTCTCTGTAATGTGTAACATTAAACCCAATGTATTTTAATGTTTTTTTGTGCTATTGCACTGAGTTACCTCATTTTCAGCACAGGCGCTGCATGTTAACTGTGTAGTGGGAAACATAGTCATACGCCTTGATCATTTGTCAGTTTTGTTTTGTTGGTGCCTTATCCCGAGTATTAGCTTTAGTTTGTTACAGACAATTGCTGCTTTTTAACAGTTTTCAGAATATATAGGTATACTTGTTTTAAACAATGAACTAACAATGAAAGATGGTCTGTGTCCTATCATTTTGCTTTGCATGATTATTTCATTCTGAATTTGTATTTCCAACATTGTTGCATGAAATACTGGGATGTCCCGTAATTAGTTTCTATTTGAAGATTATGTTGTCTCACATGAAATTAATGCTATGCAGCATTTTGTTGAAAAGAATTGGTTTTGCACCATCCCACATTTTGATGGATGTATGGATCGAGTTCATAGATATTTGCAGAAATTGAAGAATGTACAGAACATGACACTGTGCCCCAGTAAAACACTCTTATCCTAACACTACAGCTGAAGGACAATTTCCATGTGTTGATGAAGATTTTGATGGAAACGTGAAATTGCTTGTTTTTGTGTTGAGATTAGTACTTCTAGTTTGTGATTCTTGGATTCAGATGCAGCATGGCTGCTCCCTGCTGGTTTAGCTGCACAGGGAAAAGCTTTGCTTTGACAGATTTATGTGTAGACGCCTTGTCAGTCTCAAAGTGTCTGTTACAGTGCTTTATTTTCTCACCATTGGGAATGCATGCTGATATTTTCCCTGCACAAAATATTTGTAATAGGAGAAGTTCTGTTGCCTATATGTGTAGTGAATGGTTGCCTTGATTAATTGTCTGAGCTACACTACATATATTCTAAATAAACCGCTGGAAAGTGTGTTCATTGTCAGTTAAAACTGTGTTTCTTGACTCGAATTATTGAACAAAAATGAAAGAGAAACAGGCTTTTTTTCCAAATAAAACACACAGAGAAAAGTTCTAAAATAAATCAGAAATGTCTTCTTTAACTGGAGCTTTTGATCCATTTTCAGTTTAAAACCTCTGAAATATTTTTTGCGACCACGAATTAAGCTTGTACAACAAACTTCATAAGCTTTAGTTGTGCTTTTGTTGCAAAAATATATAAAACCAGTGTTGTAGCTGGTACATCTTTTTACTGATACAGCAACAACAACAACCCTCTGAAAACAGACTTCAAGGCAATGATTGACAGCAAACTTTCCAGATCTTTCAACTACATCGCAATCAAATTTGAGCAACTATCATTTTATTTTAAAGGCAGCAAAACACAATTGAGGTATTGAAGTAAAGCAAAAGTTTAAAAAATATCACAATATTATTGCAACTATTAAAAGATGTGGGGTAATAAGCTGATCTTGGAAGACAAAACATGGCACACAGTGTGCTTGGTGATCCTATCATGATCCTGCCTTATTCACCTCTGTAGGGTTACAGTAACAAAACCAGAGCCCATTCAAAGTAGTAAGGAGTCACCCTGTAACAGATAAATAATTTACAACAGATTTACAACTCACTGTGTGTATAATTCAGTGGTTTGGCAAAGATCTGTAATGTTATCGTAATGTATGGTTGCAGGACTTCCTCTCTGACAGAGCTGTAGATTGTGGCTAAAAGTTTAAAAGGTAGCAAGAGTGAAGCCGGCACACTGCCATGCCTCTTATGAGGTAGTTGGACTGTTGCTAGGTAACTAGAACAGCTGAAAAGCACTTGTGGGAACTGATCAGAAAACAATGAGGCCCAAATGACATATTGAGCTTAACCTTGCTAACTCCACTGTTATTGCTGTGGTCTGTGTGGCCAAAAAACAGTCATAAAATTAACATAAAAATAACATCCAATTCAATTTTCTGGACCAACAGTTTTTATAGAAACACTGATGCAAGGTGTTCATAATAGAAGACAAGACAATACACTTTATCAGGATAAGCTAGAGAGCTTCAAAAACACACATACTTCACTTGCATGATTGGTCAGTTAAACATTTATTCCGCGGCCCTTGTGCAGCTTGACAGCACACATGGTCTTGTTTGGGTGAATACGAGTTTGTGAAGTTGTAGCAGTGCTGGAGGACTGGAGGACCTGTTTGCCCATTGAATAACTGGCTTGGTGCACTGTGTCAGCTTTGGAGGACATGGGTACCTGATACCTCCTGGGTATTAAAGGACTTACAGCAGAGAACATGTGGGGGTTATACGGACATGTCAGATATGTAGAGGTCAGGGCTGAAGAGTACACTTGAGGCTCAAGGTGAGTGATAGGGTCCACTCTTGACCCTCTTTTCAAATTCTTAAAATCAAATGAGAAATAGTTTTCCTCTTTGGTTTCTTCCTCCACAGTCTTCTTGCCAGCGATTCCCTTAGACTGCAAATGTGGCAGTTTGATTGGTGGTAAAAACGTCAAGTTTTTAATGGGAATCGTGGTGCTGTTGGGCCTGCGGCTGTGTTTCTGAGGCTTTGAGGGCCTGGTCTCCACCACAGAGTATTTTGTAGAGGTATGATGCACCTCTCTGAGCATCTCATTCTGCTCTACTTTCTCTTTGAGTGAGAGATGTGCTATGGTTTCCTGCGGCGTGTTGGTAAAAGGCCAGTCTGAGGTATTTTTCTGTAGAGCAACCACAGCAGTGTTATTCCAGGATCCTGTGTGCTGGTTTAGTTGTTTGGATTTCTGAACGCAGCTCTTCCACTCACAGTGGCGCTTTGTAGTCCTGGATGAGGTATCTGCACAAGAAGGAGCTTTGTGGTCAATAGGGGTGGTGGTCAGGGTGCGAGCCTCCTTCTGCTTTACTTTACTGTTCATCTTTGGAGTCAAAAGTATGCAGCTCAGTGGATCCACTCTTGACCAACACTGGACCTGTTTTGAATGAATTAAAAAGTGAAAAAAAAAATAGTTACTGCACAGAGCAAATAAAAAACAAAAAAAAAAAACAAGATCTTGGACCAAGCAAGCAAAATAGGAGAACCACAAATTGCAAAGTAATGGGTGCATGACAGAGGCACTTCATAAGGAGGGATGAAAATCTATTGTGCAACTTCTATGAAAAATACCACCATGAGTGACGTTTTGGGCATCTCATCATGTTTATGTCTGATCATGAAATTTGTGCTGAAGCAGCTTCTGGAGTGCAAAATGAATCTCTCCTAAAGGAACCAACAGGTGGAAACATTGTCTGAACAACAAATAAAACTTTTTACATTTCAAGGCTGAATTGAGGAACTTTGAGCTTGCTTCAATTTTGGCTAGATTTTGGTCAAAAATGTACATCTCATCACATAGCTGGTGTTGCCCTGTACAGGCCAAGGTTCAACTTTCTGACAAAAAAAAAAATCATCTAGCATCTGCAGAAAAGGATTTTAAAAAAGGCTGACTCCTTAGCCTTCGTTTTGTCAAACTTTGCACCTCACAGTGGTTTTTAAGAATGGTGGCTGAGAACCGCCACTACTGCAAATAAAAAAGATTGCAAAAAAAAAAAGGTGTCACAACGGAAGTTACCCATGCAAAAAAAAGAAACCATAGCCTGCTGCAGTAAGTATTTTTAATTTTTTTTTGCCACTTTTTTTTTTTTGTGTCGTTAACTTCTGTTGTGGCTTTTTTGTAAATCTGCACTGTTTCTTTTTTTAATTTGTAGCAGGCTTCAGTTTCTTTTTTTTTTTTTTGCATCGGTAACTTGTGTTGTGAGTTCTTTTTTTTTTTTTTTTTTTGCATTCTTTTCTATTTGCAGCAGTGGCGGCTCTCGGCTACTGTATTTAAGCCAGTGGTTCTTAACCTTGTCTGAGGTACCGAACCCCCCAGTTTCATATGCACATTCACCGAACCCTTCTTAAGTGATAAATCAAATATGATTTTTTTTCCAAATTCAAGACATAGGTATATGTTTTTTTTACTAGTACACAAAATGAACCGTGCATGAACATCACCTTGATCAAAGAACAAAACCAACAATTTCTGCAAAGTCGGCAGAAATTGTCTATATCTGATATAAACGATTTTTGCCGACTTTGCAGAGTCAACTGCAGAATTAACGGCGTTCTGAATGAACGGGGCTTTGAAAAGTCCCACAGCATGTGTTAGACGTCACTACTACACATGGACCAATCAGGGGCTGCCTTTCCCTGTTGTCCGGGTAACAGTGGAAACACGGTCTCTGATTGGCCCGGTTATTTTCTGATCAGAATACACGCTCTCTATGTTACTTGTGGGCTTATGTAGGTCATAGCAACGTTATCCTAAACAAATGAAAGCAGGCTATAAAGAGGTTTGCAGTCCACTTCCACTTACAGCTTCTTCCCATCCAGTGTAACAGTGATACTCAGACGGCTCCTGCTCCTTCAGCAGCTCCTCCTCACTGTCATCTATCAGGGTATGGGCATGTTTTCTCTCGGGTGTCTCATAAAGCAGGTCCTCAGCTGTGTCCTCCTCTGTTGGTGAACTACTTTCAGTTGTGGAGTCCTCTTCTTTCTGGGTCGCCATTATGTCAGATAAAGTTTTCCATGGTGGTACCTAAAAGTGTGGATCCTCAGTTAGATTAGCTACTTTTGTTGGTTTGCTGGAGATGTTGCCAAAAAATCACGTCAAACCTGGGTGTTCCGAAACTCGTCCAGTGTTTCACTCCTCCCATTCACAAAAAGCTGCTCGTTTTTGTCATGTTTCGAGCCTCCCTCCTCGACTCTTTTCCTCTCACTGAAGTAGAGCAGCCGTAAATGCCTTCACAGGAGAGCTGCAAACGCTGTCGTCATAGCAACCCATTGAAAACGCACCGGCAGGGGTGTGACGAGAAAAGTGGGAGGGGCTGAATGTCCATTCTGCTCGTGATGAATTACACCTCTGTTATGCCACAGTAAGACGTCACCTGAATGGTTATCCCCAAAATTATGTTTACCAACACATTATTATTAAAATGCACGAGAAATTGGAGACACTGGCGAAGAATTAGACCGAAAACTTTCATTATAACACAGAAAAAGTCAAGTGACATGAAAATGCATCGAAAAAGAAAGTTGTAACCCGTGATAAGAGACGATGTGGCTGTTAAATGAGGCTTTAAAAAAGAGGGAAGTTAACTTTTATTTCTTTGTTAAGGAGGGAGAAACCACTTTGGCACGTGCAGCGTTCAGTTTATCACGTAGACGTCAAACCCTGCCCCCCAATGAGCGGTGAGAGGACACTGTGTTCATCTCAGCGAAATTGAAAGGAGAGGCAGCTGAGAAGAGGAAGAGGAAGAAGAAGAAGTCCTCTTTAGTGTTTTACTTGATGATAAATAAGGCAGTAGGATATTTTCCTCACGCTCCGTGATCAGAATCAAACTCGTACTTTGCCTCGCGCTTGGTTTGGGTACACGTGCAGCTTGTTTTATTGGTCCAGAGCTGGTACAGTTGGCTTCTGACGCAGTCGGAGCACCTATCCACGCGGGGGCATACTGACACCTGACGGCTCCATCACTTGACTCGCCGGTCTTTCCTCTCACGACTACTTCGGCTCTGCAGTGCAGGGACTGCTGCATTTTATGGAAGCAGAGCCTGTGCACACGGTCGTCATCATGCTGCCTCCAAAGAACTGCCTGCCGAGGAACTACAGCTGCATAGCTGGACTCTTCGGGAGCCTGGCAGCGGCCAATACGAGGCTGGAAGATGGGGATGATTTTGACCTGATGAATGGTACTTGTGAGCCCATCGAGAACCCCGTTGTGGATGAGAGACCCCGGGGCAGAGAGATCTTCCTGAAGCCTCCACAGAGCCCAAACCTGCGGCGGAGATGCAAGTCTCTCCCCACGCCCACCGGTAGAGCGAAGTTGGAGATCTCCCGCAGCAGGAGTCCAACCAGCCAGAAAAAGGTCCGGTTCGCTGACTCCTTGGGCTTAGAGCTCATCACGGTGAAGCATTTCGATGAGGTCGATGAGCCAGAGGTGCCGGAGCGCATTTTGGCCAAAATTCCCAAAGGACCCCTCCACCTTAACCATATGGACACAAAGTTCCCCCGGGCTCCTTCACACTCTGTGTTCATGGAGCTTCAGTTCACCAACCCAGGCACACTGCCCGGCTTTGAGCAGAAAGTGCGGGAGGTGAAAGTGTTGCTGGAGTGCGTAGAGGCGGATGAATTCAGCCTGTCTGGCTTTGTGCGCGTGCTGAATCTGGCTTTTGAGAAGAGCGTCTCTCTGCGCTATTCTCTCAACAACTGGATAACATTTATGGACAGCCTGGCTTCATATGTGCCCAGTTCGAGCGACGGTGTCACTGATAAGTTCTGTTTCAAGATAGTCATGCCCACCTCCTTTGATGATGGGGGCACGCTGCAGTTTGCCATTAAATACTGTGTCGGGGGGCAAGAATTTTGGGACAACAATAACGGGAACAACTACAAAGTGCGGCGTCACCGGTACAAAATGTCCCCACCAAGGGAGTGGGAGAATGGATGGATTCACTTTATCTGAGCTTTGATAGCTGCAGCGGCAGAAATGTGCGTAATTTACGCGTAACTGTTCCCCGGGTACCTTAAATATGACTGTAGGCTGTGTAAGATGATTTTTTTGTTCTGCCATTGTCAGCTACAGTGAAAATGACTTCCTTCTGTAATTTCAATATTTGCCCCCCTGTGGTCATAGATTGAGTATTTGGGACCACTACAAAAGCCTTTAACGGGTGCCCGGTGTGGGATGCTGTTAGATAATTTGCCTTGATGTCAGGGCTCTGTACAGCTGGGTGCCCTTTGGGAGGGCATGTTCATGTTATGTAATGTAGAAGCACGTGCAACTGAAAACGTGCCGGGCAATGCCGACATCAAGCATCACTGCACCTTTCAGGAGATGCTGATCATTTATTTGGTGGCATGAAGATTCATAGAACATCAGTTTCTTTTGCATGCGTGAAACAAAATCTCAACGGGGAAGCAGAAAATATCTGATCTTGGCCAGGTGAACTTATTGCAGCACCCTCCTTTGTGGTCTTGTGCAGGCTTTGGGGGAGGGTTCACACATCTGCAGGTTATTTAATCAGAAATTCAATGTCTAATTTCCCACTGATATGCCACTAAAAGATGCCTTATTATAAGACTTGATGTGGGGAATTGTTCATTGAATGTTGTATCATATTTTCTCATACTTGAACGGCTTAAATTTGGTAGATAGTCTTCGAGTTAGCCCGTTAGACACTTATGAGCAGTGTCTCAACACCTGTAGACTTCCAATGCAGAGACATAGCATTTAGACTAAAAATACCTTTATGTCCTATTTTTGCAACTTTTCAACAGCCATTGCATATTTTTTGCTGCAATGTTGTAATAAAGGTTATCTCAATTTCTCAATCAAGGAGGCCTCACCAAAGTCTGACAACACTGAGCTTAAACTTCCCTAACTTGCCATTACAAAAGCCAAGCTTGATAAAAATGGGCTTCAACTCTCTAATGTTGACCTTTGACTTCCTTAGAGGACATTCATTTAGTAGCAGTTTAGCCCGATCACATTACCTCAGATTCCTCGTGGACTTTTGCTCTTCTCCTTCAGGTCAATTGTTACAGAACAGATTTTATTTTCACAGTGATTTTTTCTAAGCATTATTGTACATTTACAGATTCAATACACAAACCTTTTTTAATTCTAATGTTCCTTAATGCACTTGTTTTTTTTTGGACATGAAGCATTGTCAACAGACAAAGTAGCGATTACACCACCAACTGTTACCTGCTCTCTACTGCTGTAGGGTGCGGGAAAATATCCTCATTAACCACTGTGCAAGAATAGAGCTGCCCCTCGCATCCTACATGACCGAAATGGTTCAGACTGCCCCATTGGCAGACTTTTCAGTTCTTAATAGTAAACTGTCTTCAGATCACTTTTTAATACCGCTAGCCTTGATGTTACATAACCAGTCTATCTTCTGCAAACTACAGCTGATGTTGCATCCATAGTTTTAAATCAATTCACTGACCAGTAGGCCTCCTGCCACAGATCATTTATAACATGTACTCAGGCTTGCATGTCATCGACAGACAAGTGTAATGAAATGCAAATATCCACAGTGCTTTTAAATAATTGTCTGATAAAAGCAATGTTTGTGGGCATGCAGAAAGTTCAGCTTCAGTTCAGTGAGAAGAGGAAGGTCAGTTAGGGTGCTTTTCATTCAAGCACTCTGACTGTAATCTGAACATCACTATGTCCTTTGTTTACATCACAGAGGCCTCAGAGTGGAGCTCTTAAGGAGGCAAGCAAGTTGGGAAGTGGAAAAAGACTATTCCTGTAACCACTTAGTGTTTGGAAAACGTCAGTGATGGTAGTTTCCTACATAGTTTCACTTGGAACTTAGATGTCGTACCTGAAATTGTTGTGGAAGTTTTACTAAAGAGAGGGATGGTGAGAGCACTGGGTTGATATTTCGTTCTGTACTTTGAGCTTTTTTCATGTACAAAGCTGCATCTCTTTTATCTATTTTTAACACACTGTGGTAGTGTAAATGGTCCAGCCATGGCAGAGCTTACTGTGTTATCTTGTCTGCTTTGGTCTGTAATACTTAATAGGGGTATTAATGCTGTGCAATACCAGATAGCATTAATTATAAAACCAGAGACCACTAATGCAAGTATACAGAGATGCATCAACACCAACCAGTTTGTGCAATTACATATGATTTTATTTTAATGTGAAGATCTGGCTCGCTCAATAAGATCTTTTAAAAATGTGCAATCTTAGATTACTAACCTGAGTGCATCCATATATGACATTTTTGTTAGAATTTCTGAGAAGAAAATGAGTTTTTAGTGTTAAATTATGCAGGTTTTGGCCTGGTGTCTGCTGTTGGTCTTGGTGCATCCCTGCCATAAAGGATTTGAAGGGCTTTTGGTCTCAGTAGATGCTCATCTGAGTGTGACATAACATTTTTTTTGCATCAGAACTCACTGATATTTAGATGTGTATGTAAATGTGTAAATGTTTCATATTGAATGTCTATTGTTATTGTTGTATGTTGTGTGTACTTTAAGCATCTGAGAAGCTGTGTTAAGATGGTAAAAGTTTGTTTTTGAGGGGCCTGTGAAGCTAAAAGAGCCTAATAGTAATGACGTCCTGAAGCACACTTATTATTTGATCAAGTAACTAAGATGACTGAAATCCTGGTGTTGAATTGGTGTTATGACTCAATGAGATCATTTGTGATCTAACAATGTTTTGTATAGAGAAGTGAAAATGTGGGGAGTTTCCCCCGAAACATGTCCCAAAATGTGACTAGTGCACCTAAACAAAATGACTACATTTGAAATCCTATGTGCACAACGATGTGTGCACTGCCTTATCAAAATGTGAGTTTACTGAGAGACATGCAAAGCTGGACAATGGCAAGTGCTTGTTTGTACAAAGATACTGCACAAGGATGAAAACATGCACACAAGGAAGGATCTTATCAAAATGATTGAAGTGGGATGCACTATGCTGTTTGAAAATGTTAGAATTGATTGACCTATGATTGTAGCGGACTCAGTCACAGAAGGTCTAATGCACTTTGATTGAAGATAAAGTAAGGGACGGGGTTGTAAGTCCTTTCGATGTAAAGAAGGTTTCTCCTGTGAATAGCTACTAACCAAGATGCTTCCCATCCTTTGTGCTATGTTCTTTCTCTTTTCTCTCACAGTGGAAAGCCTAAGCCACTTTTGTCTTATTTATAACCATTGTAAGGCACTGAAATTAATTCTGTTTTAATTTTGTTCGTTTTCATAGAAAAGCCTTATTCCTGTTTTAACATCTGTGGCAAACTGTGTAATAATCTGTACTATTGCTGTCTATTTTCCTTGGTTATTCTGCAATGAATGAACCATATTTGCATGTACAGCTCTGACATACCTTTACTTTTGTGTTTAGTTTTTGATGTAACCTCTATTTTGTTTAAACAATGGTTAATAAAAGCATTTGTGATGGAAAACAAATCCTCTACACGTACTTTAAGATGAAAATGACCTGCACCACAGACCCATATAACTTTTGCAAAACAGTACTGCATCTCTCAGACTGACTTTGTGTGATTCGTGACTGCAGAGATCTTAATGTGTTTGGTCCCTCAGTGTTCACGGACCATTAGGCCAGCTTGGTATCTCATTTAGTTGGAGCAGCACACTGCAGAGGGCTGTAGCCATCGCCATTGTAGACACGGCTGCGGACATGTCCTTGAATTGATCACAGGCTGACGCCACGCCCCCTTCCTCCCCTCCTCTGTTTGTGCAGGGGAGGGGTTGGAGCTGGAGGCGGGGAGAAGTGCAGGAGAGGAGAGAAGGCAGAAGCATCTCGCAACAGAATAAAAGAACCTTGTAGAGAAAGGTTATGGTTGTAGAGTGTGTGTGACTTTAAATCTTCAGTACGACTTCTTTGAAACCCAAACATGTATTTGGTTGCCCCTTGAGAGGCCTTTAAGAGCAGGTTTTCCTTTAAAATGTATAATCCATGTACCAGATCTTAGCGTTATAAATCATCCATATCAGTGGAAATCATCCATCACGTATATGCATGCCTGAAAATTAAAAGATGATGCAGTTTGATACACATAAGAAAGTAAAACTGAACACTGAAAGGTATAAGAGACTGACAGATACACGCATGAGGGCAGCCCCTGCTTGGTACCCAAGGAAAACCTATAGCTGTGTCTTCATATTTTTCAAAGGTATAGCAAGTGCAGCTTATTCCTGCACTTATAGTTTTAAATCTTGTCAGTGCTATAGTTTCTTGGGACTTTACGTGCTGTTATTTGGCAAATTGCCGCATAAATAATCAGTTTAAAGAGTACTTTCTTCATCAGACATGCCAGCTTTTGTTCTGAATAACCCAACAGCCTTGTGAGGTAATAAGCCAACTGGCGTGAAATTAAATAAAGCCAAAGTCTCATGCATGCATCGACAAAGCCTTCAGCTCTTTCATTAAGGGATTTAAACGGCTTACAATGTGGCCTGTAACAAAATACGTTCTTGAATGATTAAAGTTGTGTAGATGTGTAGTTAGATCATATTTTGTACTTTTATAGTGTGCTGCTTGTGTACCGGGGGTTTCCATGTCAGATTAGGAACATGATCCTGCCTAATCTTTATGTAAACCTGCCGCAATGACAACTGAGTGGTGTTGGCCCGCAGTCAGAGAAAGTTGAGTCTAACTTTGCTTACTTCTGCCAGTGTTAGAGGAGCCCCGACACTTTGTAGCAGCTCTGCAGAGCCAGCTTGATGCTCCAGCAGCCCGTCAGAAAGGATCCATATGGTGTGACAATTAGAACCTGCTGAGATGTTCCACTTTAATTCTACGATTAGAGCTACTCAGCTGCTTTCTTGGAGTGGAAAATCACATAACTCCCTTGAACACGGATAAAAAGAAATGAAAATATCTTTTGTCATGAGTACTGGAGCAGGAAATGAGACATGCACAGTTTGATTTGAATTAAAAGAGGCACATTTGTCTTGTCTTGGAGTTTATTTGACTTTTGTGAGACAGCTTTTACGGGCAGAATCATGCACCTTAACACTTTGTATTTCAACCACATGCACGAGTTGTATATTTCTGTGATTGTAATCTCTATCATGCTGAGTAATAACAGAAGCTTATATAACCGCAGTGATGACATCCTGACTGTTTTTTCCCTCAGGCGTCCAGCCTTATGAGACTGCACCCATGAAGCTGTCTCCCACCTGCGCAGCTTTTCTCACCTCACCCCAAAGTGTGTCCTTCAGCTCCAATAACGCGGCACACAAATAGGTTTCATGATTTCATTGTAAATAATTTATGCGGTGCATTGAGAGGGATTCTGTGCCTGGAGATCGATCCTGACTCAGCCGAAGTCAGGCCTGCTGTAAATAGCTCAGTCATACCCTCACCTCAGTGAGCACTGGGTCTGAATAATTAATTTAATAAATGTTGTTTTGCAACTTTGGAAAATTCATACAGAGGTTTTGTGGTGTACACTCATAGGGATAACAAAGACGGCCTTAGTCTTCTTCTTCATACCACAGGGCAAATCACCCACCACATTACTCCCCTTAAAACCTCTTGTTAAAACTAAGCTCTCACTCAATGTATCAGAGGGAATTCTTGCACATTTAAAGTGTACTAACTTTGATGAAAGAGGAACAAATTAAGGATGTTAGAAGTCACACTAAATCTTTGTCAAACAGCCTGCATGCATACTTCTCTCATCCCTGTTTAATTTTTACTCATGTGGTTAAAGGTGTAAAGGTTTCTAGAAATGGGCGTGATGTAATTAAAAAACTAATTCACTTCTGAGCTATTAGTGGCGGACAAAGGATTTTGCTTTGTCTTCTGGTGTTGATCAGAAAAAAAACTAACTGCAGAGGGATTCATATGAGAGATTCACAGATATTCATGAACTAATCGATACAATGATTTTTTGATACACATGATGTTCCAATCTGTTTTTCAGTACCCATCCATGGCTACTTTCTATTTCTTATCTACAGCCTCTAAACTTGTGTTGGGCATAAGACATTACTGTTAATAATAATGATGCAATTTTTTCCTGATTTGGTCCTCATGGACCTAACATAAATGTTGTTTCTAAATTTGTTGAGTAGATACTCATTAGCAAAGATTTAAAAATCCTTCCCCATTTACTTCTCATTCCAGGAACTACATGTTTTTATACCCTTTGTAAGTATAGATTTTATATGCTGGTGATATATTTCATATAAGTATTGTATATGGTATTGCACACACATTTTCATGATGTAGTGTAGAGTATGTCCTAAATTCTTTGATTTGTATGACATAAGGGCCTGTGTCCACTGACACTGCTGTCTGCGCTTGCAGACTCATGGCCTGAATGTCAGAGCCTTCTCAATAGTGCTTATTGTTGCAAATTCAAGAATTGTTCCATGACGCTTTCACTTCTCCCTGTAATGACTGTTTAGTTTTCAATGGTTCACATTTGCTCTTGTTTATTGGTGTTTAATAAACACAACTTAGAGGCAGTTAATATCTGTCATTTTGTAGCACCAGCAATCGTGCTGAAAAATGAATGGGTTTTGCTGAACATAAGTGAACTTTTCATTAAATACTTTTAGGCGAAAAAAATATGTATATATTTTGCTAAGTATAACAATGCCACATGGGAATTTTAGATTTTTGTTCAGCCATCCTTAATTAATAAAAAAGGAATTAAAAATAGAAAACAAAAATATAGTAAAACAAAAAATAGTTTAAAAATCATTTATGGTTATTTAAACCAGAAACATGTTTTAGATAGATTTTTCTGTGAATTTAGAAAACATGATGTTGGTATGAGCCTTTGGAGGGTCAATGCCAATATGCTGATTTCTAAAAAATGTGACTAATCAGCCGATAAATTGGCAAACTGATTTATCAGTCTATTGCCGGAGTGCAGTGACATTTGGTGCCTTGGATGTTTTCGTGCCAAGGATGCTAACAATCAGAAAATGCTGTTAGTGTACACAGGCCCTTGATCCTAGAGCATATGTACATTTTGACTTTTCACATGTGCATATGATTAAGTGTAAAAGCGTATCACACCCAAAAAACAAACAAAAAAACAATAGCATGCCTGTGAACTGATACAAAATACAGCATGGGGTGTAGGTGTAGCTTCTACTTTTATCACATGAAACTCTCGTAAAAGGGGAACCAAACTCATCTCAGAGAGTACATATGGCAGGCTTGTTGTTTGAGATGTAATGACAAAGTACAGCGAGTGCACACACACAACGATGAAACAGAAATCTGCAGTGAGCGCACCCTGTCTCCGTGGGAAATTATGTTGAACCCTGAGTGGAAGTTTGACATTGTTTGTTCTGAAGACTGATTACTTGTTTCAACACACACCATATTTAGACATGATAAAGTAACATAGGCTTCAGAGGAAATACTTTCTCAACAAAACAGTGGCAATGTGCCATGACTGTATACAACTTAGGACAGATAAGCTTAAGTCTGAAACATGATCTGACTGTCTTTAAACAAACAAAGTACTGACCTATGTCTACTGGATATCTTCAGCTGTATTTATGGTTACACTAAGCCTACAATACAATGAACTTGCAAATCAACAGAATGAGGACATTGGCAAGAACACAGCGCTACTACTGTATCTTCAAATATTTCTTAAAATCAGCTCATAGTTCAACTATGCAGTACATAACTCTGTTTTAGTTCTCCTTTCACAGCTCGTAGCTTCATTGAAGCTGGAAGTATTTTTTTCTTTTGAGCTTTAAAATTCAGGGTGCACCAAATGTTAGGAAAAGTTATTAGTTTATTATCTGGTGGTTTGTGGGGCATGTGGCAGGTATATAGCCAGACATTTTCATCATGAGTTTAAAGAGCATAAAGAGGACATAAAAGAGAATGAACACTGGGGCTCCAATCATAAGACATCTATAAATAGGGTTGTCAGTGACTGGGAAAGGTGCTATGAGGTGAAGCAACTCTTTATTTAAGTCAACATATCAACAAAATAGATGGCTATTTGCCAAAGCTGTGTTTACAACATTTTCCCACAGCTCAGTGACTAAAACAAAAGACCAGGGAATATCAACCAAGAGATTAGACCAGCTTGTTCCCTCATAAAACGTACAAACTTCTCAATTATAGTAAAATTTGCTAAGATGTTCATGAAGTTCTGGTGCGGATATTCATAATGCATAAGCGACCATGCACTACCACGGGGAGGGCAGTTTGTAATGGCCATTATACCGTATCATTCAGCAAATGGAACAATGTCTGACTCTGAAATGACTCTGAAATACTGAAATGAGTTTTGAGGTATCTCGGGGAAGTGAGAGCCTGGACCATTGTGCATGACATGTAAATTCAGAGGCCTGTATACATGGGCCTCTCTACCATCAGTGGCTGTTTAGTATGCTGCTGATCTCCTTTTCAAGCTCCCAGGTCTACAATGAAAGAAATCAGTTTTGTTCAGTATGAGCACCGAAGAGCCCTACTTTGTTTAAAACAAAAGGTGCTGCCTCCATTTTCATCTGTGTCGTACACTCCT